TCTGGACTTCTTCAGGGTAATAATCAGAATCATCAAAGAAATATATAGCTATCAACAATCACATGATTTGTAGTTAACTGACTCATTTTATCCTATTTTGGAAAAATCAACATCCAAATTTGATTTGTTTAACACAGTATAGTTTTGATTGTTAAAAGCTATATATTTCCTTGATGATTTTGATTATTACCCTGAAGAAGTCCAGACAAGCTAGCTGGACGAAACGTTGGAATTATTTAAATTACAATCGCTGAAATTATTTCAAATATAATTTTCACATAAAATTGCCCTATATATATATATGCTATTTTGAATTATTTTTTTATATCATTTGTGTATAAATGATAAATGCTTCATGTATGTTTCAATTCTTTCGGCGAGACTATAATTTATGGACGAACCGATCAGATCTACGATAACAAGTCTGAGGTTTTGGCGCGAAATTCATTCGCCCATTTGACTAAATAGAGTCTCGGCATTGTAGCTGATGTCAGTTCGTTATGGAAACTCTAAATCTAAGTCTTAACCCTGACTATCAACTGTGAATTTTAATCCTTATTCTTTAAAATGCTTTATAACCCTCATTTAGCCCTAGTAAGTGGGTAGACACTCTCAAGGTCACTTTAGCTTCGCCCAAAGGTCGTCCATAGATTATAGTCTCACCATTCTTTCTTCTATATGTTTCATTTTTGGGTTGTTTTTCGTTCTTATTTTTATAAATGTAAGAAAGTCTATGTTAAACACGACACTGTTTTGTGACGAAAGAGTCACCTTTCTTGAGCATATATTACAATTTCCTTTTGAGACAGTCTGTTTTTCGCTTCCTTTTTTATTCGATCAATATGAAATTTGCGCATCATGCATATTTAATTAATGATTAGTCATTTTTCTCATTCAATTACCATGTATCTTATCAAAGTAATAATATATTTCAAAGGTTACTGAGATCATGGCAAAAGAATTTTATCTCTGCTGAATCTGAATCTGAATTACATAATTTTGTATAATAAGTGATTGTATAAATCTATCTAACAAATCTCTCATTTAAAATATAAAATCACATTAAATGTTACAGGTTTTAATTATCGACCATTCTATTCAAGTTACTTATAAGTAGTATATAACGTTTTTATAAATTAATAAATACTTATATATACATATATTGTTCTTTTTGTATCATTAAAAATATATTATCATTTTCTAGATATCATGGTATGCTAAACGTTTGGGTGTTGCTTATGTGTACAATTTAACAGAATTGTATATGTTACAAGATAAATCACCGGAACTTTCAGAATCATGGATATTTTTACGTAAACGAATTGAAGATTTACGATCTATGAAACAGATGAATGTAAGTTGTATATCATTTTTCTTCTTTTCTTTTGAAAGTTTTCATGTTATTGTAGAATTAAACTTGTAAAGTTTACCACTGATTGTTCAGTAATTCATGATCAATATCGAGTTTATGTAGTCCTTAATGTTGATGAGATCCTGTTTATTAAGTTGTAATGTGACCTTCAGTCTAAGTGATTCAACGTTATATCCATTATAACTCATATGTAAAATGATTTTGGATAGTAGATGGGAAACTCTGGATATATTTTTAGTGTTATATAGCACCCGCCAAAATAGTGTACCTGTAATCTTGAGGTAAATGGTTCTCTCGCTATTGATATATTCGAATCGGCATTTAAATGGCTTGACACAAGCATTGACCTTTACTCACTAATTAGTCAATTGCAAACATCTCAGTGCCGCAGGAGGTTGTTCGCATCTTGAATAGTCCAGTGGTAATGTTACTGTTTGTAAAGCTGGTGTGATTCGGGATCGAATGTGCTAGTGAGTACCGATTCCTTCAAGATAAACGGTATGCTGTGTAGTATAAAACTTTATTTCAGAATTTCTGCTCAACTACCTCCAACCATCGAACATGGAACCCAAAATAAACGCGTAGTTTTATTTTCGACTCAATAGAATATAAATTAATGGGTACTGATATACAAATCGGAATTCAAGTATAGACCCCACTATATTCAGATAGGTGACTAAGTTTCAGTAGATTCTAAATGATTATTGACTTTTGTTATTGGTTTTACAGGATCGAGCTGATCTAAACCTGTTACCTCATCAATTTTTTGTATGAATATTCTAATATCACTTTCAACCTCTTTCTAATGAATTATAACAATCATAAGCAGAAGTAGATTTTTTCTTATGTGTTGTTGGTAAGCTGCATCTCAATAGGTTTCTCTTGCATATTTTTTCCAAAATTAGGATCCACATCGTTGAACTAAGAACCTCACCATTCCGACAGGGAAAATTTCCTTGATGTAAGTTAGTCGGCGGTAATTGGTAGGAGACTCAAATAACCCGGCAGTAGCACCTGACTTTAAAACCGAGTGAGACTGAATCGAATACTACAGAAAGCGTCAGCTCTCTATAACTTGCTAGTAAACCGTACTGACAAGTCTTAACTAGAAAGAACCCTAATTCCAGGGTTTCCTACCGACTACCTTCAATCATCTTACATCAAAATGTAGTTCTCGTAATGTTGAATTATTAAGACTATTGACTATATTCCAACTTTATCAATGAGATGCGACCAACACGTATGGATTATGGAATTCATATATCTCATAATCATTTTGTAAATATCCATCGTAATAAAACCCAATGTACTTTGGGTACGTATATCCACCTTATCGTTTTTTCAAAGTAAATTCATCCAAATTGAGACGCAACATTTTTTCAAATATCTTTTTTATTCTTGTGAAATTTTAGTTGAAGGCTGCATCAAGTATGCTTACAAATGGTGTTTTAGCTTTTGGAAATGTTGTAAGTTATCTTAATATTTTGAATTTCCTATCAATTTATAAAACTAATTGAAAAGAGATTTCTTCACTTGATTCGTTCTTTTATAAAATATCAGTCCTAAATATCAACTACATTCCTACTTCCTATTCAAGTTATTGACTTTGTGAACTCGTTAGCTTAACGAATAATTTGTCTGCGTTTAAAGAGGTATTTATTAGGTTATAGTCTCAATGTGAAGATCAACACTAAGATTTCGGTGTATCCAACGCGTCCTGGTTTTCCACTGTCATCCACTATTTATATACTATGTTATTATCTGTGATTATTTATTATAACAAAGGGATTTTCTTTCCGGAAATTAATATTAATGAGTTTTTATACCTGCTACTTAGTCAACAGCCTTAACTATTTGAATAATCTTCCTACTGAATAAGTGCTTAACTTCAATTTATATTGAATGCGGACATGTTTCGTATGTGTACGTCTACTGTTCTTGTCTAATTGAAACAGCCTAATGTTACATTTGGATCAACAGTTCTGCTGGGCTATTTTTTACGATATTATTAATGTTAAACATTAACAATATTTAATGAACACAATGAAAACATTCTAAAGTTTAGAACTTATACAAATTGTCGCAATACATTTTATAGCTAGATGATTTTTCTTTTCATATTAGTCTCACTCGTTGGTAATAATAACGGAATTGAGAGGATGAAATGTGATTTAACCGGGTTAGAAAATCCATCTAGAGCAGATGGAAAATCCTGATTGCAAAACAGTGGTGCACATGGACTCTAGGATCCTGAGGAAACAAAGGGCGTATGAACTTATTGTTGGTCACTGGCTACCATGGGACTGCATCTCTTAACGTTGTTTTACTGCCTTATTTATTAGACTCTAGATCAAGGGTTGAGGGGGCGACCCCTCTAAGGAAACCACCTTCTTCAGTTTGGGCACCCTGATAGTACTCCAGCCGTCATACAACTCGAATGATGAAGTATTGCACGTATATATTTGGTGCTTTGTACCAATATTTACGTATTTAATTGGTAAATAAACAATAACACAATAGCGTTTATCATTTCACATAATTCTTCTCAATATTCTTGTCTAATAAGCAACTGTTTTTTTACATATACAAATATAATTTCACAAAATTGATCATTTGTTTGTTTGCTTTGTTTTCTCTTTCCATAGACTTGCAATATTCTCGGATGGAATCGTAACAATTAGAATGAGATGTTTGTTTCTTTTTGTGATAGGAATATTCTCGTTTTTGCTGTTTCTTACTTTTTTTCAAAACAAAAGATAAAAACCAAAACTCTTTCTATTCAATTCTTTTTTTGCTCTACTATTAGGTTTTGTATTGAAAAGCTTCGTATCTAGTGATTATAGTTGTATGCCAATATTATTCATAACGTAACTGTGTGTACATTTTATACTTGTGTTTTATTAATTTATCTTTTATTTTATTTATATAGAAGCAGAAATAAAAACGAAATATACAACTACTAATTGTGGTTTACTTCTTTTATTTACTGAATGTTTTTTTGTTTTTGCATAATATGACGATTTCGATAGAAGGTTTGTAGAAATTGATTCATGTCTTAGTTTACATTACAGACTGATCTTATTCAGACAATTGGTGAAAATCAGAAAACACTGATGAGTTATTTCATCCTAGTATTGTGGTGTGTGTTACTAATGTCAATAGATATAGGTAGTATGTATCACCAATCGAAAGTGGAATGTCTAGCGGCAGAAGGTTGAGAAAATCGAAAAGAAGAGAACGAGAACAGAAAGTGATCAGTATGGAAACGAGAGAACAACAAAATCTGAGACACTTGATGGATCTTCTGCAAATGAAGTACTTACTGTATGATTCTCAGATTTTACCAAGACATTCTGTAATTTTTTATTCAAATACATTTGGTTGTCAGCACTTTTGTCCTCGTTCACAACGGTATCGCGAATTAATTGGTACTGAATTCCCACTCATTGATGTTAAGGCTAAGCACATACGTCTCAAAGTTGTTAGATTCCTAGTGACGTTGTAGATGCCCATTATCTGAGACGTTCGTTACTGGTATGAAACAGCTGTTGAGGGCTACTAATGATTATTTAACTAAAGTTGGTTTATGATTACAATTGTTTATCCATTTTTCTATTTACTTTTAGGCTTCGTTGTTTCATGTGAATGGCATCAGGTTTTCGTAGTACCGTTTGGGATCCAATTCTAATTATCAGTCAAATTGTATTTATGCAATGTATATTTTATATATCTGTCGGTTCCATTTCTGGACTTCTACTAATAATCATTTCACATAATTTACCAACATTGGATATGATTTTTATTGATACGAAAATTCATTTCCCCGATTCAATCGGTATATGTCTCTTTATTGGTTTTCTATTAACTCCATTAATATGTAGTATTGGATTATGGTTTATTGTAAAACGCAGTAAACAATGTCTTGATTTTTCATGTACTATACATTTTTGGCATTTTATATTTTGTATTATTTATTCGCATAGTTTCCCTCAATCTATACTTTGGTGGATTGTCAATTTATTATCAATTGCTATAATGACAGTAATGGGTGAATTTTTATGTATGCGAAGTGAAATGGCTGAGATTCCTTTAAGATCTACATACAGTGTTAGTTGATTATATAATCATTATCACATGGTTATTATTTATACTAATTACATTATTTGTGTTTTGATTTTTGCCATTCATATATTTATTAAGATTTTATTGGCTTCATAAGTTATCGTAACTTTATTCGTGATAAATATCTGTATCATTTCCTCCATTTTTAAATTGGTTCAGCTTTACGCCTCTTGTTATCATCGTTATTTTTTGATTAAAGATTGTTTTTATTTGTTTAGTTATGTTGTGTGTCGTTTAATTATCAATTTTTAGGAAAAAGAATTTTCTCTCCAGTATAATCAACCCTCAACTGAATTTGTGACTAAGTTCTGAATTTCGAGATTTTTATTGTTGATCGTTGTTTATAAATTGAGGTTTTTTCCGAAAAAGTAGTTACACTGTATCGACATTTCTTCAGTTCTTACTGACCCAGTTATCATTTATTTTATGATAAAAGTATGAATCGTAGCCGAGTCCCTCCAACAGTGCACTTTAGTATTACCAACCTAGGGCTGTATAAATTATCCTCCGCATAACATATAAGTGGCCCGGTTCTATGGATTATATGAAAAAAATATTGGCTGAGGTATAAACCGATGACATTCACGCACTAATCTATTGAGAACTGTTATTATCCAACGGGCAATCACTCATCAACTGACATACGGAATCAGTCATGTTTCGGAAGTTGTTTGGCCAAGCTGCATTAAAATCACGTTTTTCTGAATAACCCTTTTAATTTTCTGAAGTTCCAACTGAACAATAATTACTACCACTATCATCGACGGAGTCGATACCATGTTAATCAGAATGACGAGATATCAGCAGAACTTATTATGATGCTTTACACTGGATAATGGCTGTTATGGAGAGATTTTGTACACTTTAATTTGATCATTGTGATATACAAGGTATAATTGATATAAGGACAAGTGTGATTGTTTGTAAACTAAGGTGAATCGTCTTTTTGATAAAGTGTATATGTGGAAATGACTTGCTTCTATGATTACTGATGTCCACCTATATCATGGGAAAACACTTTCCCGACTTTTTTATATTCATGTGCTTAAAAATCTAACTTTTATGATATCCATCTATACAATAAGTCGACCTAAAATTTAAAAGAGAAGACTAGGTCGATATGATTAGTCTTATCTGCATTATTAAGCTAATTCTGTTAACCTAGTTTAGTCTGGAATGATGTGACCGTAGCATTACATAATCTTATACATAAGTTACACCTAATTATCTCTTAAAATGATGATCTATCAACCAGGTTATCTGGTCTCGTTTGGGGATTTAGTTAACGGTTGCTATTATCAATGAAGTGATTGAATAACTTGAACACACTAACGTTAGTTGTTGCACTAGCCGCATTATAATCCTTTGCATGTATGCCTATCTTTTTATTTGTTAACCATATTGGTCTGTAAATATTTGAGAAACGCTCAATAGGCGACACTCGACGGTTTGTAGTCACTTCAATATAATGCAGATTCTAACAGTTTAATGCAGTTCTGGATTTATTCTATTCTAATACAGTTTCTTGATGTTTTATTGTGAATGTCATTTCTAATTTACTGCAGTTGCGGATGACTATGGGGCTTGTGCTGATATAAATCCAATATAACTACGAAGACGTCTTACTGTGTAATGCATTTATAACTATTATTTTAGTCAAGTTGCGTCCATACACTGTTTTGATTTTTTATTACTACTGTATATCCCAGTTAGTTTTGATATAAATTTAAAGGATCCCGTCTTTATTTAATCATTTTACAATGAAAGTAACATCTATGGTCTTTATGAATTTTGATATATTTTTTCACGCTTGGTGATCAGACTTACGCACATTTTTCAAACATTTTAATAAAAACCGAAAAGGAGCAGAAATATTGACGATATACATATACTTTATCAAAATGATACAAGTCATGAAAACTCCGTTTGCAACGACAAACAAATAACTTACCATAACATCATCTATTATTTGTCAGGCCTGCGGTGATGTGAGAATGAACAGTTGTTGGTAACTTAAGGCACGAAATACCAACCTATGAACAAAAAACATTGCCATTAGTATATAATGTCATTTCACTCAATTTTATGCTGATAGTTTTGAATTTAGATTTTCACCTGCGTACTGTACTTTGAGATTTGTCATGAACCGCGGGAAGTACAAATTGATAGTTTTCCTAGGTCCCTCGATCAGAGTAGGACTTTAACAGTTGTGGCGTTTTTATGAACTCATGACTCCTGTGTACTCGATGTCTACCTGGTTTTGAATTATGAATATGTAAGGCGTTCGTCTGCGCTCACCTTATTCTGTTTCGTTGAAATTGGACTACTTGGGAGATTGCTAGTTCGGTTAGTAATCTAAATCCTCCTAATCATCACAACAGTGCAACAGAAAGCACGGGGCAAATGATGTTCACCACGAACGTGAGTTACTTGAAATCAATTTGTCAAGTTAGCGGTCAATAATGATTATAATAACATGGATAGGTACATCAATTCAGGCCCAGACACGAATACAACAAAGTTACCGAGTGAAATACACTTGTTTTAGTAGTCGACTGACTGGCCGACAGGAAGGTAACACCTAGTCGCTTAGAAGTGAAAGTATGAACATGGATTCTTTAAATATTTCGAAAAATATCTTGATCGTGTGTAAGAATCTATTTGACAAGGAAACGCATCACCTTGATCAGCAACGAATAAAAAATAACCGCGACATTTTCAAATGTCAAATTCAAACCAGTCGCTATGCCCACTTCATCAAGTCTGACTTGATAAATACCTGCTAAAATAAAGTGATATTTCGCATTTATTCGGTGACCAGAGTTGTTGTTGGCTGAGGCACGCTCGACGAAGGCAATCAGTTTTTGTAATTCGAGAATTTTCATTCTACCTGGCCCATGTACAGTAATCAAACTGCAACAGAGTTGATTAGTAAATGAGTGCGTGAGAAAATTCTTTTTATCACATCGAGGGCGAGGACATCAAATAGTTGTTTTGTTTTGTTACGAATGTCATTATTTCACTTATATAATAGAAATATGTTTCGACAAATTTTTAAACAACTCACCCGTAGACACTAACGCATATAACACCAATCAACATATGTACAACACAATGATTGGCATGAATTGCTCCCCAGACCAATGGTCGGTACATACGAACGAATGGACACTTGGGACTATACCCTGACATCAAGCAAAATTAAGAAAATCAGGGTACAAGCAAATGCAGTCATATAAAACGTTGTCATGCGGAAAAATAGCAGTTTTATATTTTTTGTATGGTTTAAGAAGGCGTCTTAAAGGAATAATAATGCCATTACAGTTACACAAGAATTGGTCGTTGAACAGTCTTGCACGCTTAAAGGTTCATCAGCTTCAACTGTACGCTACCTTCTAGGTCATTTTTTACGGTTTGTGAATTTTTAGGTTCATTCCTTGTTCTCTCTTGAGTTACAATAACAACTTATATACCTGTACAATGCTCATAATAAATGCTTGTGATCGGAAACTTTAATCTAATTTTTAATGCAAATCATCAACAGTAAAAGAGAATTCTAACTGGTTTATAATCGTCATTTAATTCTAATCAGTAGGTGTCCACTCTCATGTCACTTCAGCGTCGCTCAAAGATAGTTCACAAATTGTAGTCTCACTCTTGTCTCTAACCGTGATCTGAAAAATAATTAGTGTGTTTCACGAACATATATCAAGAAAGCTTTCAGTACACATAAATGTTTACCTACTACATCTAGTTAGTGCGAAGTTTTATTTGGGTGTGAAAAATATCCAATTCACCAAGATTTACTTGTACAATAACAGAACTTCAGTGGCAAGCAACGTTCTAATCACTTGAGTTTTAAAGTTGTGTTTTTTTAATGCTTCTTAAACGTCTGTGACGTAGAATGCTCAAACGTACAGTCATATTGCAAAGAGTAGATAACTGTATCTAATAAACGAAAGGAAAGTGCTCAAAGCCGTAATTGTATTTTCTTATAACACTTGTTCACTTTATCAATCATACCATGGAAAAGCCTTTGTTTAGCCACATCGTTCACGTTTGTTAGATGTTTCTCGCTGACGTTAACAGATGAAAATTGTGATGTTAGTACACTTTCTAAATAACATAAACTAAATGTGGCCTTATTTTGTATAGCTTCATAGGATCTGTACTTCGTAATTCTGTGTTTCGTAATAGTATCCATATACGTAGTTCTGGTTTGTTGAAGTACAATATTATAGACATGAAGGACGTTTACGGATAGTGATACATTAGTCTGATGATTATTGCCATCTAAATAATAGATAAACTGTAAACTAGATTGGCTTAAATACAAATTAATTACTTGCAGCTTGTTGCTGAGTAAACATATTTAAAGCTTGCAACTCATCTTCAGTTGACGAAGGTAAGTGTAGGCCGACTAGTCCTCCGCCAAGTTATTTTGACTGGTTACCTGTCGTTAGTTTTTTCAACGGTAGAATTAATTGTCTCATACTTTCAGATAACTCTCCAACCTCGTCTGACAGTGTTTTCATGTTTGCATTTATCTTTATATGATCTGCAAGACTTCAGAAAATATCAAAGTTGACCCTCTGTTATCTTATTAAGCTCACTCTGTATCTTATTTTTTTTATTTGTAGTGCTTTTATACATAAGCCGTGTATATGATATATATATATATATTCTGAGGCTCTTTAGAATACTAAACTTATTAAATGATAACTTGACACTTTTAGATGCTTATAAAAGGCTTAAACATTTACAGATTCTTAAAGCCTGTTGGAATACGGGTACGTCATGTATTTGATTGAATAAATTGTCGTCTTGAACGTTTTAGCACGTAGTGACTTTGACCAAAAAATATCCTCGCAAAGTGCCTTCTATTTTGTTGGCAGAAGGTATTTTGCCTAAATTGACCGCAGATGACATGGTATACGAAGAGGTCAACATAGAAACAAATGAATCCCCATGTATAAATGTTTTATTAACAGATAACGTGCCTGGTATGTTAATATTTTTGTGCTGAATCGCTTCATACCTGTTTAAAACACTAGGGCGTTTTCGGAACATTTTGGATGGAAAAGCTAACAGGTCTACTAGTTATTTATTGTCATCTTTCTGTTGAAGCATTTCACGATTTCAATCATGAATTGTTGACGACTGTTACTCTTCGACATTTTATTCCAAGTCTTCTGATTTATTTTAACATCTTTTGATCTTACTCTTTTACTGTTTTTATTCAATTCAGCACTTAGTCATATTCGTATTTCTTTCATTCAGTCAAACTGTCTGTTGCATTTGCAAGGTTAAATTTTACCCTCAAACGTTTATTTACAAAATGGAAGTTCATACTCATTTGTAGTTTATTAGTATTTGTCCAATCTATCAATTAGTAATCTTCAATACGTAAAATTAAAAGATCTATATTACTTTTCTTGTCAATGTAATGTAATTGATCACACCATTCCTATGCGGACTCAAATGTAAAATTATTTATTTTATTATTTATTTCAACACATAGATATTGGTACAAGGAGGCACCAAATACATATGCGCCACACAAATCTCATTCGATATGTGTGAGGGCTGTGATACTGCCCGGGTTCCCAGACCGAAGCAGGTGGTTTTCATAGGGGGCCACACCCCGAGCCTTCGACCTGAGGGCCTGATCCACAAGGCAGTGGAGCATCGTAAGGAGATGCAGTCCCATGGAAGCCGGTGACCAACAATTGGTTCATACGTCATTTGTTCCCTCAGGATACTGGAGCCCATGTGCACCATTGGTTTGGGATCCGGTTAAAGCGCCGGACATTCGCTTTTCGTCCTCTCATTTTCGTAAACAACACCCTCGCCACGAGAAGGCAGTGAGTAGGACTTCCCTGGCAGAGGCTATATACGCGTGGCCATGTGAGAGCATTTCGAGAGGGAGAGCAGACTCTCCCCACTCTCGGCCGTACGAGGGCATCTGGGGGCCCCGTACCAGGGCATTGGGGGGTAAATGTAAAATGATAGTCAGTAAAGCAGAAACTATCAAGGAAATTTCCTGACTAAAATTCTCACAGTAGATCTAAAGTGCAGCGTAATATCTAGAAATAGAGTATTTGAATTACAGCCCAAAATATTTACAAGTATAAAAAGCAATTAAATTGTTTGCCGTATGTTATCTCATCAAAACAGAAGGGGTAGTAGTAGTTAAAAATAAGCAACTTATAAAGTGCTGTTGCATTTAATGTTGTTATTACTTCTGAGTCAGGCTGAAAAATATATTTGACAGCAAGTTTTAAATAGGTACAAGATGCTGAATAAAAATGCATATTTCTTTTGCCCTAGGACTTGGATCTGTTGGAACAGTAACCCCTGTACATCGTAATAAGTTCTGGAGATATTTGTATATTAAGGGACTTGCTGAACTACCGACAGAAGAAAGAATCAACGAAATGAAGTTGAAACAAACAGTTAGTTAATTCCTCTTTATAAGTGTATTACTTTAGATTAATTTTTTTGGAAAAAGACCGATTTTCGCTGATGTTATTACTTGCCTGTTTCAGTTCACTTTTATACATATAATATATTTAGCATGTTTTGTCTTATTTTACCCAGTATGGTAAATAGACTACATTAAGTTTTACCCATCAGTATTTTGTACGTAAATATTGTTCTCATCCTCTTAATTTTTTTTAGGGAAGACCAACTGTTCTATGTGGTGAATCTTATGTTCTTCAACAACGCTTGTCTAATATGACCCTATATATACCTATGAATCCATCTCGAGAATGGACTCTCAATAAAACTCATGTTAAAGTTGCTTTAAGACGATATGTAAGCTATTTTTGATAGAATTTCACTAATTGTTTTTTTCTTTAGGGTTTCGCAATAAAGGAACATTATATCACATTACCAAAAGAAGAAATAACTTCAAAAAATTCTACATCTTCATTTAAAATTAGCGTTAATGTAAATCTAACAAATATATTAACAGCTTATCTTGACATTATTTGTTTCTATAGTTAGCTTTTTTTCTAATAAAATCCTTTGTTTGGTTTGTTAATACTAGTAATCCTTAAAAAATGACCATAGACACAGATATCGCTTTTAGTCTATATTCATAATGAATACGTACATTGTTACATATAATTCAACTGAATTTCAGTATCACTTGAGTTTTGTAATACAACTTTTTCACATCCTAAATCTAAAATAGACTTATACCAGTCCCCGAAACGATTGTTCATTATTCTGAATCATTGGATGGAGACTTACTCTTATTAATTGGATATTATAATGTTGGATTTCCATTTGAGATTTATTTTGTGATTAAACACGTTAAATGGAACAAATGTGCGGGATTGAAGCGTTTGATTCACGGCAATTTGATCACAAGTTTAAATCATGTTCTACTTGCTTGTCTGTGGATAACTGGGTCGTGTTACTAGCTTTCATACTAGAGGTTTTAGGCAAAGCCTGATTCCACATACAGATGGCACAACTTTTCATTTATGCAGTGGCAGAAAAAGCAATGAAGCGATGAAAATATTCGTAAGAAAATCACTACTCTTAAAAAAACCCAGGGCTTTTCTGCGCTATTTCTACATTTATTCTCCAACATAACTTGTCCGTGGCAAAATATACTAATAATTTTGATTTTTTTATAGACTATTCCAACAGCTTAATATAATCTTAAATAGTACTATCGAATTTACCTTATTCGTATTTTCATTCTCCTGAATCTATACTTTATATTTACAGGAATTACGAACAGGTGTATATAACATTTAATGCTTCATTCCCAAACTTAACAAATCATTATCACTTTTGCGTGTTTTTTTGTTGTTCTTGTTGAAATATATAAGAACTCGAATTGGTTTGTTACTGTTGATTTTAATTAGCCAATAAAGATAAAAGAGGTCATCCGAATTTGGAAGGGATATTTAGTCTATTTATTTCAGTGTTTATATTTATGCCAAATGGAAATGACCATTACGTTTTTCTTTCTCACCTAACTAACATAGGTCCTTGTGTGTATATCTGGTACTAATGTGATCACAATAAGCTGTGATCGTTCAATAAACGAAGACACATATTTAGCTATAGTTAATATAAGTTATTGTTATATATTTAAAACTGTTTCCAATCTGTTTCATTCAATGTATCGACTGCTTGTACTTTATTTAATAGGCTACTGGTCTGACCTATAGCGGATTCTTTATCTTGATTTGGATAATTAAGTCAAGTGTATCATGTAATCTAGTACTCAGTCAACTATCAACCATCTAACATTTATTGTCCTAGTTTCGAATGTCATTTCCTAGGATCAAGCAAACTCGTTTCGGTTACTATCATACAAGAGCTTTCAAGATATATTATGCAGCAATCATTTATTTGAGTGGCTAAATTGTAACATTTCAGTTCAATTCACCCATACTTCATTTAAAAGATTAAACTTTCCAACAATGCATTTACTTTTTTTTGTTTTACAGATTGATGATATTGTCAATGTTGTTGTTCCATGTTCAATATTTCTTTATCAAAAGTTGGATAAAGGAATGTGTACTCAACCGCCAACAAATGTTTTTAGAAAAATTAAAATTGAAGATTGGACTGCAGATTTTTCTGAAACTGATATTTTAGTTTCTATTTAGAATTATTCAAATAAAAATTGATATATTTTTTTCAAAATAATAATTGTTTTTGATTTTGTTTAATTTTATCAGGTTGTTTATATTTAATCTAAACATAGTTTAGTTTGTCATTTTCAATTATTTGTTAATGTTTCTATTCTTTATATATTTGTGTATATGTATACTGTTAACTTCATTACTTATCTTTGTTTTATATAAAAAAACAGAAGAAAATTGGTAATAGTCGTCGATTCTTTTCGTATTTCAAACGTCAAGCATATGAACCAACTAAAATTAAACAACTTGATGACTCTAGTATAGGGTTTATGGTGAGTATAGTTGGTTAATTTTTTAAAATTCTATAATGTCGTGTTGATTTCTATATATTTATCAGTCAAACATAGGTAACATAAAACCTGGAATATATATATATATATATATATATATATATATATATATATATATATCGACTCAAGTTGCCACACTATCAGTACAAGGAGATGAAATTATCTAGAAAAATTTAAGAGTAGCAAAAGTTCTAACAGTATTAGTAGTGATAAAAACAGACGAAGTGTATAAAATATGATTCGAGAAAAAAATATACTAAATTTGCTGACTGAAATTTATGAGTATTTTAAGAAAAAGAATAAATATATCTGTAATATTGCCACTGGTTATGGGAGTTACATAAACCCCTACAAGATAGTTTGCACCTACCTACATTACTCAGACCAAAAAACAATAACATCAAAGGCTGATGCCAAGTTTTGGTCTAGCCAACCCTATCTTTCTTGCTTTATGCCAATAAACATAGCGCGTTGAAGTATACGGTGATTAAGCACACATAGTCCATGTCCTACCCACTTGAGAGTCGAGGCAGATTCCCTACCTCATCAATTAGTTTGCCATTTTTACCTAGTACCCTTCGTTTAATATCTACATTGTCTACCCGGTGATTGCAACGTTCAGGAGCAATGTTTCGTAGTCATCTATCATCAAATGCCAGTAAGCTTAGGATGTCCACTTCCAAAGGCCGAATCTCATAACCATAAAGCAGAACAGGACGAATTATTACACACTGTCCTCCTTTTTTTTAGTTAATAGACGAATATCTTGTCTACACTACAAGTAACATAAGTTTGCAGAAACGTAGCACGGTTGCTGATTTCTTGCTAAGACTTAATCAAGAGCTAACTCACTATGGTCACTGAGACTTCCAACATGGATGAAACAATCGATGCGTTCGACTACTTCACTCCCATTAATTTAACCATTAACTCATATCAGTTATAAAGTAGTACACTGTATATGTTGTTTTTGCTAGTTGGCTTTTGTCAACTTATGATGTGATATTTTTTTCATTTGATATTTTCCTCATATTCATACTCCCAATAAGAATACTGTTCTTATTAGTCAATGGCTGATAATACTTTTTCTTATGTGTTTCTGTCGTATTTACCTTATGACAAATACTGCTTTATAATTTAGTGTTTCGGTTTTTCAGTCAAATTTTCACATTCTACAAAAAGTGCCCTCAATAACTTCACAATCGCAGACTATAACATCCAAAACTAAATCATTCATAGTTAGTCTATCCATCTGATGCAATGTTTCGAAGTGATCATTTTCAATAGTAATTTTCCCCAAGAAGAAAAACGACGTTACTCATTGGTCAAGACATTCAAAATCAAACGCTCGAACCTTACTTCATCTATTTCGCTGCAGGCAATCATGTAATTATCTCTAACCTCTAAATCTAGAGTGTGGCTTGAAGGCAAGTATACAAATCTGCACCCGGTGAATGAATTATTAATATGAAGGCGAAACAACAACAACTAGGCATAATATTGGAAAATTAAATAAATGTTTATGTTATTCTATGAACCATACATATAGTATTCAAGTTCACATTAGTATTTAAGTCTACTGATCTAAAAAAGCTAATGCGTATTCAAACTCTTGAGTTATTTTATTAGGTATTGGAATATCTCGGCAATTAGGTCATTTTTATTCACTTTGAGACAGAATGTGTCAGTAGTAAATTTTGAAAAAAATCAGTATGTCACACTTATAGTATCTTCGATTGACTCACATCAATTTCAGTTGTTGACAGTTGATGCAATTACACTTTGAACACCAAAGTAGTATGAACTAAACATCTTTTGTCACTTTGTAGGTTACGCTATCAAATATTTGTTCCCTATTAAGCAGTATGAAGCTTTTTACTTTGTGACGCCATCTTACGTTAAAAATTGAAATATCTGTTTTATTCAATATTTTCTCATTGTACATTAACACTTTACTATGCTTACTAGATTTATCATTATTATCGCAAATAATTCATTGTCATTCTCGATCTTGGTTTCTTCATAATCGTCTCTACGTATATTTATGTTTCTTACTCTTGATAATCCTGTGAACTACTCCAAAATTGAAGTTATTTAATTATCATATTTGAACAATCATCATAACTCGACAAGCTACTACTGTGTTGATTGGTTTGGGGTGATCGGCAGAGAACTCTTGATCTAGTTGGGACTTATCAGCAAGGTGTACCTGCAATCTTGAATTAATTAATGCTCCTTGTGGAATTCAAACGAACAAGTCGATCAGTAGAATTCAATTATCATTTAAGTACTGGACAAATCTGATATTAGTCAATGCTCAGTAATTAATAAGTTGTAAATTACTACTGTCTTTTATGTACTTATATTAACCTGATCATCCTTATAAATACGCATGAATTCTGTGATTATTTTCAGTTTTTTTTATTACTTTTATTGATACACTTCGGTTGATATTTCCTCTATTATTATCTATATCTTCATTATTTCAGTTATCTGATTTAAATCATAATGGTAGAGTTGCATTAGCTCACTTTGATCATTACTACAGCGAAGCTTATGGACCAGTTGCTTGGCGTTCAATGCGTATAGCTTTATTAATGCCATCTAAAAAAGCTATTCTCTATAATCGTTATTTTCCCAATGTTAGTGAAACAATTTCATCATCATATAATAATGATGATAATCAGTCATTTTTACCAAACATAAACTTTATGCAAACATTAATTAAACATCAAAACTCTTTGACAAATAATGTATTCAATGCTGATAAGAATCCGAATATTATTGATGAGGTAACATGTTTATTAGATTGTTTGTTCTCACGCAAAAAATTTTTTTAATTATTTAAAAAATTCATATAAATTAACAGTACAATGATAAATACTTTGTATCTATTATAACACGGAGTGTTTAAGTTTGATACTTATGCACACAACTTCCTATATTCCAAACCTTCAACTGGCCATTGCATGAGAAGACTAAGAGTGAGAAAGGAAGTTCATTGGACTGAACCACTTGACATACTGAAGCACTCATATATATCATATACTCAGAAAATGAAATTACTACTTGTCCAATCACATGCACTTATCATTAGATTTTTGATTGGCCCAATGTAATCTTCTCACATGGCGAATTTTAATTGGTTAACTGTATCACTATTCAATTATAATTTGTTTTCATATCACATTATGAGACAATGTTTTGTAATCTTCAGGAATTCTGTTAAAATAAAGTGTTGTTTTTTAAATCAGGAAATTTAATTTCTTCGAAATATTCCATCAAGATACCAATTCCTTATTAACAATGAGCGTCAAACTATATTTCCAGTTCATATTTTCAAATTCTCTTCTTATTCCGACTTATTGTTAATATTCAGAATTGAGTTTTTATTGTCTTTGTTATCATATATGTATATACTGTTATAATAGTCAAGAATTTCAGGGAATAAGTTTACTTAATTACTTCCTATTGTGTGGAGTTCGGTGGATTAAGTACATGGAATTCAATTTCTTTATTAAGATTCCTTTTTACTAATTGCCTTTTATTGTTATAACTATGTTGTAATACTGTTAGTCCACAATAGGACAGTTTCAGCGCAATACCTTTTAATATTACTATTGACTAATACACAGACAAACATAACATTTAGATTTGGTCGATTCCAGACTGGATTTCAGTTCGTGAGTTTATTGACTTATGATTCAACTTGTAAGGGACAAATGTACTTTTCTTTATTTTGAGATGTTGGGTGACGACATGCCCATATTATCTACAGTGATATAATTGTATTTGTTGTTTCTATAAGTCCTAGTATTAGTACTATTTGATTTATTACTACTACAACTACTCTGGGATTTATCTTGATAATTCTATCTTGCTGCGTTAATGTAGTGTGGCAACTTTAATCGATACACATATCTGCCAGGTTATACATTGTATATGACTGACTAACTGACAGTGGATTTCTTACGTCCAATTTTCCACTGTAATGCACATTACGATTTATCCTATTTTGTTCCGCAACTTGATAATTTCCTCCTTTTTTCGTATCGATGCAAGATAAGGCACTTTCTACACTAGTTCCTACATTTCGTGATGAATACTGCAAATAGACTAAATTTATATTTGTAATATTATTATAAAGGTTCTTTATCACACAGCATAATCAATGAAGTTTAGTTAGGAACATTATATAAGAAACAAGAAGATGAAACATGTGTAACATAACAATTGAGATTAATTAGTAATTCCATATGTTAAAGATGGAATCATAAAAAAAGAAGAGTATGAAATTACAAATGATAGTAACCAGACGATGAATGGAAAAAGCATTGTAAGCAAATGAGTGATAAACATGGGGTTCTAGTTGACATGAGACTCATGTTAATGTCATAACTGAATATAAGTGGAATATCTTATTTCAAGTTATATAGTACAATAAAGAGATAATACAAGTGATTAGCGTTAAATGAATCTATCTTTCCATGGAAATGAAAGATTTACCACTCTTTCTGTATACAAAGGTCAGGTCAAAATCACTTGATGTCAATGACTCTTGAAATGCGAATTAACAGTGATGTTCGCTGCTTGTTAATTGTTTCACATACTTTTGTGATATTTACGTCATATTCACTATCCATTAAATGTTTTATGATCCTACTTCTGAATACTTTACTTCCTTTCTGAATATTTTCAAGAAACCTTGTAGATTCCGTTTTTTTAATGCTTCCCATTTACTTGTTTCCATTAATGTATGTAAATTCGTTTGGAGGTGACCTCAGAATAGTATTGATCTACTTTTGACTGATTTAAGAAACATCGCGTGTTATATTTCGAAAATAGTTGGGCTACAGCAAAGCTTGTCTTTAGCACTGCTTTAATTCTTTTATCAATTCTCCCTGAAATCTCTTCACTTTTGAATGCAAGAAGAATGATGGTGGGTTTTTCTACCAACAGTTGTTTATTTAGGACTTTCTGTTATCGTTTTTCTGTACTTCATAATAATTTTTTTTGGAAATCCGTTTTTTAGAACGACCTCCTTAATGTACGCTGTTCTACTTGTTTTTTTTCTCGGTTGAACACAATCTTCTAGCCCTGTCGAATAAGATTTCGACTAGAAAATGTTGTTTGTAACTAAATAAGATTAAAAACATTATAACTTAAGTATTGCCTCGTCCATGTTTCTTTTCTAAATATGACCTTCATGATTGTTCTATCGTTCTACGTTTTATCTTTAGTCCTAAATAGTTAAATTAATTAATGTGTTATTTTATTCCATTATGAATTTGACGTTAGCATGTACTGCATTAAAATACTAGAACAACGGTAAGGCATGATTCCTATCATTACAAACAGACAAAAGTGTATCATCAATATTACCTTCCGTAGAATGTTACGTTGTAGATTTCGTGTTTGAATTTTGTTTGTTCATGATCAGCCACAATGATGTTGGTTAAAATAGACCGTGCCAATGATCCCGATAATCTTTTTCAATTTGTATATGTAACCTTCTTATTCCTAAAGTTGATATTACGCTTATCCATTACTAATTATTATTTGTGACAAGAAATCGTTGATATCATATATTTTCTTTATGAAAATATTTTCAAAATTTTCTTTACATTTTAAAGGTTATTAATGTAACGCAATCTGATGCACGTCGTAGACAATTTTTAACACGTTACAGCCCATCAGATGAAACTATGGATACAACTAATCTCAATGAATTTATACCATCAACTGAATTAATTAGTGAAAATGAAATGTATACAAGAGAATGTGATACAGACTTTACATTTTATTCTAAAGATTATTATGGTATGATTAAAGCAGATGAAGGGGATTCATCTGATTTACAGTCATTGAAAGTGTTAACTGAAGAATTCCATATACCCGAGAAGTTATGTATTAAATGTTCACCTCCTGGTAGATTGGTTACAATACCACATCCAACTTATTTAAATGGACAATTTAGTATGTTACACATATATCATGTATTATTTGTTAAAATTTCCTATATTGTCAGCATGCGTTTGAGATGATTGTTGAGTTCCATTGAAATCATGAACCGATCTATGTTGGACAACCTTGAAGCATTGCACTGCCTTTTTGTCTTAGTATGACGGGACTCCTCAACAGTGTGCTCCCATGAGCCCACAACCGGTATGCAAATCTAACTTCAATTAGTCTTTGATCAGTAGAGCTAAACTGTGTTGAATGTGAAAAAGCTATCTAACGAAGACAGTAGAAAATGGTCATGCTATATTGTGGATCGATTGGGGTTTGACTTGTACACTATTGGATCCCGTCTCAGGGTTTCACATGTTAAACGTTCGCGTGCGAAACCGAAAGTCCTGGATTTGATTCCCTGATCTGGGGTCGTCAACGCTCACATCTGAGGAGTGCAACGCTACGATGAAACGGCCGTCCAGTGCTTCAAGGTTTTCAGTAGTTGTCAAACTCCGATCAGCTCACAGTTTCAATAGTTTCCTATATTATTATTATTGTGTTTCTTCGAATATGTCTATTCTAACAATATTGCTGATAATTTATATTGTATCAAAGAAATAGAGTTATGCAGTAGGATTTGATGTAATTGCTCATTAGTTTAAGCTTCCATACTTTGTCATACTCTGTCTTCCCTTAAACTATGAGATTAAAATCGCTTCATGTCCTTCTTTCTACGTACTATTTCTTTCTTCCTGTACTATATCTTTATATGCAATCTTTCTTTATATATTACCACCATTGAGTTAAATACTTCTATCAATCCGGTGTTCATCTTGCTGTGTTAATGCGGTATGGCAATTTGGACGGATGCATATATGTTACTGGTCCTACGTTGTAGCTGACTGACTGCCATACTTTAAGTCAACTATATGAAAAATAGGTCAAGATTTAGTATTTCTCTATCGTATTAATGATTGGAAATTACTTATTTACACGATGACTAAACAGCCATAATGCATTGATAAATGACGTCACTTTGTTTAAGACTCATCCTTATTAACTTTGATCTCAATCAATATTGACTGTTTATATATGAGTGTTGCACTGGAGAAACTTATGTCTGAGTTCTTATAACCTACATTTTCAAGTTGTTTATTAACATTAATCAGACTCTTGTCTAGTATGTGCATTTTTTCGTGGATGTTTCGTCATTATGACTTTCAGAACCGTAATAATTCTAACCAATTCATGTTTCGCCCATAGTCCTGGTCTTTCACATAATTCATACTTATTTATTTATTTATTTGAATACAGAAATATTGGTACAAAGGGCACCGAATACACATGCGCTACACAAGTCATTTAATTTGTTTGTGGGCTTTGATACTACCCGAGTGTCCGGACCGAAGGAGGTGGTTTTCTTGGGGGGCCACACCTAGAGCCTTCGACCTAAAGGCTTTTTTAAATTATAATAGGTAAAGTAGAATGAAACGTTTAGTTCACTAATTAAATCTTAATCTTTAAATCATAGAACTTCAGCTTCATATAGTGCTTATATCTTTTCATTTACAACACATCAGTCAGTGTTATTAATACTGTCTTAATGAAGTTTTATGTTAAAATTGTTACCGTAACATAAATCGTATATCCTTTACTGAAACAAATAATGTTATTTTTATCAAATGTATAAAATATCTCACCTGAACATTATACTTCAGTGCATCTAAATTAACTGTAATGATTTAAATTCTATGATGGTTACATGAAGATTTATTTGTTAATATAACTGCCTTCTCGTGGCGGGGGTGTTGTTTACGAAAATGAGAGGACGAAAAACGAATGTCAGGCGCTTTAACCGGATCTCAAACCAATGGTGCACATGGGCTCCAGTATCCTGCGGGAACAAATGACGTATGAACCAATTGTTGGTCACCGGCTTCCATGGGACTCCATCTCCTTACGATGCTCCACTGCCTTGTGGATCAGATCTTCAGGTCGAGGGCTCCGGGTGTGGCCCCCTAAGAAAACCACCTGCTTCGGTTTGGGCACCCGGGCAGTATCATAGCCCTCACACATATCGAATGAGATTTGTGTGGCGCATATGTATTTGGTGCCTTCTTGTACCAATATCTATATGTTAAAATAAATAAATTAATAATAAGTTTATATGAAGTAGTATTTGAATTTAGCTCCCCTATCATTCATCATTTAATATGGAATAATCTTCAAAAGAGAAACAAAAGATAATTAAGCATATTCAGTGGTATCATCTATGTTTCATTGTTTACAGATCAATACAATTTTTCTTACTGTTTGTTTTAATCATTCAGTTTATTGAATGATTATTTTATATATAATCGTTTATTTGTTATTTTTTGTTTTTGTTTTTTTAGATTTTCATACAATAGACTTAAGCTCTGTTCTACCTATTTTAGTATTGAATTTACAAAAAGATGATAATATGGTTAATATGTCTACATTTTCTGGAACTAAATCAGTTATTGCACTACAAACTGGTTTATTAAGTTAGTTCACTATTGTTTTTTTATTTATTATTTAATATTGATTTTATTAATAATTATCAAGTATAGTGTTTGTTTATATACAAAGTGATACGAACAGAGAAATGAATAGGCTATGATAAATAATGGAAACTATTTTTGGGTACATTATCTCATTTAATTCAAATCTTGTAAAACATTAACATTTATTTTTGTTCTTAGTTTATTCTACAGACTATAAATTTTTGTTTGATGTATGATTCATTGTCAGAATGTTTCCTGTTCCAAAGCTATTGTAATTTAAACGTAGTCTTTTGTACTCTGTTTTCTATTCTAATCCCCAGTTTTAGGCATAATTGTATTTTCCTAATTGTTTGCACGTTGTGGTCTTGTTAGTCATTTATTTATTCATGTATCTTTTTACACTAATCTCAATCGGAACCAAATTGGAGTGTGAATCGGAATCGGGAATAAATCGAGTAGTGTTCCGGTTGACTTGTCTTCTCTCTCTATTGTTTGTTTGTCGGCCAGTCAGGTGATAGAATATTTTTCATCTCTAGTCTCACTTCGAACTCACACATACTAGCCTTAAGCTTAAACCCCTCAGTCGTCTTGGCAAGGTCATAGTTTAGATTTGGGCAAGCTATTTTCTGCATATTAATGGGTAGACAGATCAAGGACGTAGGACAAAGATATTTTATTATTTGAATATTGTAAGTTGATAGTATAACTCGTTCTTACTTTTATTAAAGTCAGATTTTGTACATTTATCACAATCAAAATGTTATTCGATAACGTTGGAAATATATATCTCCTAAAAGTCACATTTTTTAGTAATTTCTAATTTAGAGAAAGGTAGACATTTTCCATTTCGTCTTAAGTCTTTATTTCCATTACTATCGTTCTCTCTAGCCGGCTTCAGTTTGGGCACTTGGGCTGTATCATAACCCACACACAAATCAAGTGAGTTGTGTGGCACATATGTATCCGGTGCCCCTTTGTACCAACATTTATGTGTTCCCTCTATTATATATTATCAGCATTTAAGGTATTCTAGGGTTTGGGCTAAAATTAACAAAGATCTGTACGGTGTTTCATTTTGTTCATCAACTGTTCTTCAGTAATACCTAAAAAAGTACTTTTAAATCCTGATGTGGTGAGACCAAAATTATCAACGACTTTGAACGACGCTAAAGTGACCTTGAAAGTATCTATCTACTTACTAGTGTTAAATGAGGGTTATAAACCAGTGTGAAGAATTAGGATTATGTTTTTTAGTCGATGGTCAGGGTTAAGATTAAGATTTAGGGTTTTCATCACGATCATCAGCTATAATGCCAAAACGCTATTTGGCCAAATGAATGAATGGATTTCGCGCCAAAATCCAAAACATATTATCGTAAATCTGAATGGCTCCTCCATAAATTATAGTCTCGCCAAACTATTGTTGATGTAGTTATTTTAATATACAACTTAATAAAATAAACCTGTACATTGTTCTTCTCAATTTTGATCATATATGCTTTCAGTAGTATATAATGAAAAATTATCATTATTTTATTGTTTATTTATTTTCTATTATCAAGATCGTTTATTATGTGTGATACGTACTCCATCTCGTACTACTCATGTTCAACAAATGATCAACACTTTTAAATCGTCTGGACTTAATTCTAAAGAGAATGATAAACAAAACAATAATACTAAAATAGACTTTGTTTACTCAAATGATGAATTGGCTGGTTATTTTTCTGACAATATTGATAAAGATTATAAATTTAATAAGATTTTAGTCAATGTTCCTTGCTCGGCTGATCGTTACGCAATCACATCTGGTACTACACATGTTTTTGAAATGGGACAAGCTCATTTACGTGCTCATTTACCGAAAATTCAGTTAAATCTTCTCCGGTGAGTTTTGGTAGAACTTTTCTAAACTGTATATGATAATAAATAAAATGCGATTGTATTGTGCACTCAAGTAAAAATTACTTACGCGATCAGATTGTTGGTTCGCTGCCCCCTCTCCTCTTGATTAACTGAAAGGAGTCAACCCAAAGGTCGTCATTAGCACAGAACTTCCTGGCATTGATGTGCGTTGGCCCAAGTTGTCATACTACATTACCATTACGATATGAATGTAATTAGGTGAATCACAATCAGGAAGACTGAACTTTTGGAATATAGTCCAAAAAGACACAGTGAAAAAACAAAGTATTTATCAAAAATACATTGGTATTCAAAATTGATAAAATGATAGAAAGTTGATGGTTGGAGGTAGTAGATAAGAAATCTTGAACCTAGTTTTCGTGTTATTTGGCACTTGTTAACAAGATATGTACCTGTCATTTTGATGGAACTGATGCTCCCTGGCGGAATCAATCTCATATCATTCAATTTTGTTTCAATATATAATTACTACTGTGATTGATTGCATAGTGTACAGTTAATGCTTTTTTTCCCTCATATTATTACATCCTATTCTTCTGTAGTCAAGCAATGGAATTATGTCAACCTAACGGTTATGTTGTCTATTCAACATCAACATTATCACCAGGTCAAAATCAAGAAATTATTCAATCATTTATACTGAATCATTCAAAGAATATTAATTTCACATTGATCAATTTAAAACCATTGTATGATTTATTAACTGTTTGTTATTCTAAATTAGGTCTAAAAATTATTCCGATTCATTTACCTTTATTTGATAATATGAATGGAAATAATCATAATAAAAATCTATCTTCAAATAATACTTGTCATGGTTTATTAATTATTCCATCGATATCGTGTAACTATGGTCCAACTTTTATTGTTAAATTTAAACGCCTTCCTTAATTGATTTTTTTCAATTGGATAACTTTGTTACTATGTGAATTTGTTTATGATATTTATAAATATATATTTTAGTAATATTATTATTATTTTTAATCTTATGAATAATGTTATTTTATACATTTCTGATCATTCAACTATTTGTAATGGAATGTTAACATTACTAAATTTAATTGTGTAACTATCAAAAATTAGGAAGCATTGGACAGTTTTTTCATCCTATTATATAAATCTTCAACTGTTCCCATCTATAATTCAACAGGGAATCGAATATAGATTCTTAGGTTTCGTAGCTAGTGTTTAACATTTAGACCACTAAGTCGTTACTCAATATTATATATTTATATATCAATTAATGAGATTGCTTGATCATCTTACGCTGTTATTGAGAGGTAGCTGTCTCATAACTGACTTGGTTAAGCTGCACTAATCATAGCTTCTCACTGCTACTCCAGGGAAATTGGTTTTCATTAATGATCTATATTATTGTTTGAAGAATTATAAGTCATACTAGATGAAGATATCTTTTTAGTCTGGAATTCATCAGTGCCTCACATACACATACACATGACCGTTCAGGATTAAATCAAGAACATGGTGATCATCACGAATTGACTGAAGTTAGTAAATATTGGTCAATAAATATCGAATGTTTAGGTGAATGATACAGTATTGATTATGTGATTTTGAAGATTTTGTACTTGATGTTGCGCATATATGAAAAACTGCAATAGGTATAGCAAATTGAAATCATTCCTCTAATGAAACATTCGTGTATATTACCTAACACTTGAGCGTAATTTAAATACATATAATTAACCTGGTTCGAACTCATATATACTTTATTGTGATGTATTTTTGAATGCTATTAGTATTAATCGTTCAAACTTCAGACGAAAGAGTTACATATGAGCATAGAACGTATTTGACAGCTTGGTGTCTAGCATCATCATCCTCAGAAATAGTTACGTTGCTACCTTGACGTGGTGGTCGGGCTTGCCTATAGTGATGAAGCAACCGAGCTATACTGGCTGGAACAACCGTTCCTCAAGGTCCTACCATGTCAGACAGGTCGGTTGAAGAGCGGTAAGACTAAAAGCAACAAACCCAAGGTCCGAAGGCGAAGTCGTACTGCTGACTGTACAGAGGTGTGACAGCAGTAAGGTGTTTCCTTCAGACAACCAGCATGACAGCGATGCTGCCTTCCCACAAGGAGGGGTGGGGTTAGAAAAGGTCGACCCTAAAAATGCACACCGCCTTATCCCACGGGTATCCGTCTCCGGCGGTAAGGTCTCAATAAGCACGGAGCTAACACAAAAATTACCCATAACAAGGTCGTGTGTGACCGACCTCAAGCAGTTGTCCCTTGGGCACTGCGGTCACGCTCTCAGGTCACTAAGACCACCTTTAATCCAATTTCCTTTTCAGGTACCTCCAGAACAACCCTTCCACGGTGTGGGCAACCGGGAAGTGATAACCGCCCTCATACCTCTAACAGCACTCAAGACCACTGACTGACTGACTACGTAATAATATGTTCAAAGAGTAATCTAATTTAGCCGCAACAATTTTATAACGATTAACTGCTGGTGGCTGGTGAAATATCAGCACAGAATACTGAAGTCTCGTTTAACCTTTACCACCTTACGGTATTCGTAATTTGAATAAAATATCCACCTATATATCAAAGAACAAGTACATTGGGGACTACTGTTTTGTGTATTAATTTGTGGCTGGGAAACGCGGAGTATGGAAGTGGAATATATGAGTAGGCTGCTATTGTTTGACCATGTATATCTTCGAAGCATTGCTCGTGTATGGTAGAATCATTGAGTGAGTAATGCTAATGTTAAGCGTTAGTAGAAATGCTAAGTTGATTGATTAATCAAGTTGTAAACCTTCATTGTACGCGTTACACAAACTCAGTCACTGTCTACCTGAATATCCTTTTTATCTAGAGCATGAACAAGGTAAAACGAAGCTGGGGTATGCAAAATAGAAATAGCATCAGTCCACTAAGCTTTTGATCACAAGTCTGATCCGTTTGGTAAGGTGTAGACATCCAGGTTGAAATCCTTCCAATGATCATAATCTATAGTTGATTAAGAAATCCCAAAATTAATCGCGGTGTTGTACTTGCAATCACAGAGTCCCTCTATAAACGTTAATTTTATTGTTATCTTACTTGATTATTTCGAACTTTGTTTCAGTACTCGGTATAATATTTTCAGTCATTTGCTTCTAATTTTGTTAGTTTCCTCTTTTCTTTGTGGTAATGTGATATGGATGAACCCATTCCCGTTAGATCCCACATTGTGGACGATTAACTGTCAGATTCCTAATATATAAATGTACGGTGAATAATTTTAAAGTTTGAGTCACCAGTGCTGTATATCTCATCCCTTAGGTATGAAAACCATTTCTTGACCAGTCATATGCACTTAAACGGCCGATTTTCAATTGGCTTAAAGTATCATTTATAAATACTTGCAAGATCAGAATCTGGTGATTTTATATTGTATATTCTATGTACTAACAACTCATTGGAATGTATGTGACATAACACTTGACAAAAGACACTTAACATTTTCTAGATGCGATACACATTTTATATTTGATTGGTTGTAGTGTCAGTTGCTACGTTAAGCCCATATAGCTTATTCTGGCTTCCGGACAAGCCAATTTGTTCATTCTTCTTGAGTCATATCTTTTACCTCGTTAACTATTCGCTTGTAAACCTCATCTTTTTATGTGAGCGTATGTGTGCATTTCTTATCTGACTCATCACATGTCTGTAACTTATTATTGTTCGACTATAAATATCGACTCACGCTTGGCTGAATTGAGTTGTCTTACATGACTTCTCCACCGCGCGTCATCTCACTTCACTCTTCTCTTTGCTCATTTATTTGGATCAACGATTGTGTGAAATACACGTATTCGAAACTCATTCTCCTATTTGATTTATTTAATTCCGTTATTCACTAATGTGATTTAAATCGATGATTATATACGAGGATTGGCGATATGTTTATTTCAACAACATTCATACGATCCAATCGTACTCAGATATCGGGCCACATAATAGTCACGTAGATTTCGCATTTGAACTGACGGCCGACAGTGTGAATTAGAGTTGAGACCAGTATCTCTCTCCTTGCTCCTTCTAATCTATCATCGCTTAGTGTGTTTATAGCGATAGTTCAACACCTAGGGAAATATGTAACTACCATCTTTTCTGTCGACGGTATGAAATCTATCGAGACCCTTTCTCATATTTGAACTGAATCTTATAAGCAAGGACATACCAATGAAATATTATAGAATAGCTCTCAAAAATACAAATCTTTGCAATGATCCTTGGACACTTAGACGTATTATTCATTCATACAACTTCAATTTCTCATCTTTTCACTATGAGATAAACAAAGTTTACTAAATGAAAGTTTTTAGACTGAACAATATAAATGATTAAAATATCCACATTCTGAATGTTGTGTATACCTATTCCAACTTGTCACTCGTTTACACTATTTCACACTATACAATCATACTGATTAAAATAATGCCATATAGTAATTCAAATTTGGCATATTTATGTAACCACTTTATAATATCGAAACTAAAACTTAAAATCTTTACAAATAAACTTTGTGTAACCCATTAAGCATTTACGATCTTGCATGCGAGATTCGAACCCAGGACTTTCGGGATCATCAATTTGTTCACCCTATTTTATACTTATACAGCGGCTAGCCTTTGGTGGAAATCCGACTGTATCTAAACGTTCTCGAGTCACTGTCCGGTCGAAAATTGTATGTTACCACCGAATACGAGGACTGAAGCAGTTTTTCTGAAACCATGTGCACCATTCAAACTGGCTGCCTTTGACGTTCGCACACTTATCCAGGTCGGACAACAGATAGGGCTGGCTATGTCTTTGGAAAGTCTTAATATTGATGTTTGTTGTCTATCCGAGACCCGTATTAAAGACTCTGCTGAAGTACTACAAATTCGCTCTCCGTCTGTCGCTTCGAAAAGCTTGTTTTACGTGCGCTTATCCGGGGACCCTGTGGTATCTTCGTCTGGTCTTGTTGGCGTTGGTGTCGCACTAAGCGCTAGAGCTGAGGCAGCACTAGTCGATTGGATCCCCATTAACAGTCGGTTATGTGCTGTTAGATTAGAAAGTTCCATCAAAGTGAGAAGAAATTGGCGTGAGAAACGATGTCTTTTCGTCATCTCCGCCTATGCCCCGACAGATTGCAGCCCGGATGCAATCAAGGATGAGTTTTACCACCAGTTATCTGTTCTTCTCCAGAAAGTGCGTTCGACAGATATTGTTGTACTAGCCGGAGACTTGAATGCTCAGGTCGGGCGTCTAGGCACAGAAGAGAGTCGTTTAGGTGGCCGATGGGGACTCGTTGGTCGCAGGTCAGATAACGGGGACCGTCTACTGCAACTGTGCACAGACCACAACCTGTTTCTGGCTAGCACTAACTTTCGGCACAGTCATCGCCGATGTGCCACCTGGCGTCCTCCCTCTGCATCTCAAGCCTGGACTCAGATTGATCACATCGCGATCAGCTACCGCTGGTGTGATTGTGTGCAAGACTGCCGCTCCTTTTGGAGTACCCATCTGGACTCTGACCATGCCTTGGTCTGTGCCAATCTTGCCTTACTTTTCAGTGGACAACGAAGTGACCGCCATCAACAAATTGATATCAGCAAGCTGGTTGCAACTTCTGTTGCAAGTAAGTATCGAACCGAGCTAGTCTCTAGGCTAGCTACCACTCCACCGAAAAGTATAGATGAGCATTGGTTGCAATTGCATGACGCCATGAAAATGGCGGGTACAGTCAGTTGTGGGTTTGCGAAACGTCCCACTTATAAGTACTGGGTTTTTTCTGATTCCTTACAACTCATTGAGACCCGTCGATCTACTCCAGGTGACTGTGAGTTTGACCACAAACGAAGGATGTTACGTAAGGAAATTGGGCAAAGCTTGCGTAAGGACCGAGAAGCCTGGTGGTCGATGCGTGCTAATGAGCTGGAAGCAGCAGCTGCATCTGGTAACTACCGGAAGCTCTTCCAGCTCATCCGAGTCACTGGCAGCAAGAAGTCTGGTGTGAGTGAAACAATCTGCGAGGATGATGGGATGCCAATCACTAACATCCATCGACGTCTTGGACGATGGGCAGAATTTTTCGAAGGGCAGTTCAACTGGCCTGCTGCTCCGGCAACATCGGTCAGACTGTCCTGCCCTCCATGGCCGGTGACGACTGATCCACCAAACGAGGAGGAAGTCCGCAAGGAACTCCAACTCTTGAAGCGTTACAAATCACCTGGCCCAGATGACTTACCTCCGGCTCTTTTTAAAGATGGTGGTGACTTTTTGACTAAGGAACTGACGACGTTGTGTACAAAGGTTTGGGAATTAGAGAGTGTACCAGCGTCATGGAATGAGTCGATAGTTGTCCCTATCTTTAAAAAGGGTTCACGTCGTTCTTGTAACAACTATCGGGGGATAAGTCTACTTCCGATTGCGTCCAAGCTATTGGCTTCCGTCATACTTCGTAGGTTGTTCAAAACCCGAGAAAGATTAACTCGCGAGGAGCAGGCTGGGTTTCATTCTGGTCGAGGATGTATTGATCATATATTCACCCTCCGCCAAATGTTAGAACACCGCCATACTTATCAAAGGCCAACAATCGTAGTGTTTCTTGACATCAGGGCTGCCTTCGATTCGTTGGACAGGGCTGTTCTCTGGGATTGTCTATTGAAGAAGGGTGTGCCTGAGAAGTTTATTAACATCCTAAAAGCCTTATATACAAACACCTCAGGTAGAGTGAGGGCATACAACCACCTCTCTCCATTGTTCCATTCGAGCAGTGGGGTTAGGCAGGGTTGCCCAATCTCACCATTCCTCTTCAACTTTGCCATCGATGACATTCTGGAAACAGCTCTGATGAATGTAAGTAATGTTGGTGTGGATCTGTTGCCTGGAGAAAGACTTCTCGACCTTGAGTATGCGGACGATATTGTCTTACTGTGCGATAATGCCCAAGGCATGCAATCCGCACTTAATCAGTTGGCAATCAGTGTCCGTAGGTATGGTATGTGCTTTGCACCTTCGAAGTGCAAAGTACTTCTACAAGACTGGCAGGATTCTAATCCTGTACTCACCCTGGATGGTGAGCAGATAGACGTAGTCGAGAAGTTCGTGTATCTGGGTAGCTGCATAAGTGCTGGTGGGGGTGTGAGTGATGAGATCAATGCACGAATAGTGAAAGCCAGAGCGGCTTATGCCAATCTGGGCCACCTTTGGCGCCTTCGTGATGTTAGTCTGGCTGTAAAAGGCCGGATCTACAACGCGTCGGTGAGAGCAGTTTTGCTCTATGCTTGTGAAACCTGGCCTCTCCGAGTTGAGGACGTTAGACGACTCTCTGTGTTCGATCATCGCTGTCTCCGAAGGATTGCTGACATTCAGTGGCAACACCATGTCAGTAATGCAGAGGTTCGGCATCGTGTGTTCGGGCACAGAGATGATAATTCAATTGGTGTCATCATCATGAAACACCGACTTCGGTAGCTTGGACATGTTCTACGAATGTCGTCTCAGAGAATTCCACGTCGTGCATTATTTGCCGACTCTGGGACTGGTTGGAAGAAGCGGAGAGGTGGTCATTGCATGACATGGTGTCGTGGTATGAAAGAAAGCTGCAAAGGACTGGCTTCTGTTGGTCCTTCACGACTCCCTGGTTGGGGTCTGAGAGATGGTGCAACACAGTGGCTAGAGACGTTATCAGATATGGCTCAGAATAGAAGCCAGTGGCGATCCTGCTGTAACCTTCTTTTACTTTCTTCATAAAAAGTGGTTGTGTCTCCCTTACCTGAAAGATTTCTTCTGATTGTACCTTTCCGTTCCCTCATTACTACCACACTACCTTACACTAATCTCTTCGTTATTGTTCTCTTTTTTTTCTATTTCTCTTCGAGTTCTCATTGTTTTGTGTGGCGCATATATATTGGCGCTCTCTTGTACCAATATTTATATGTTCAAATAAATAAATAAATACTTTCGGGATCGTGGATGCACACTGCTCAGAAGTCCCATAATAGAACAAGACAGCCATCTAATTCTTCCAGATTTTCAATGGTGATCTATCTGAAATCGACTTATGAATTGAATTATTAAATTACTATCATCTCATTAAACTTCCATTCCTATAATAACCTATTCAGCTCTTATAGACTGAGTGAAGTCGATGTTTTTTCTAAATACTTCTAATATTCATTTAATGAAGAAGGGAACATTAACATAAATTACTAATATAATTCATTTTAAAAAAATCACATAAAATTACAATTATTCACCAAGTGTATTTTATTATATACATTTAAATGTTGATATTAATTTGTAAATTGTATAGGACAATTGAATTCTTTCGATGTAAACAATTTGAATGTATACTGATTTGATGTAATGAATTTCATAAAATTTTGCCGAATTTGTTCAGTAAGATTGAGTACTTTCGCGGATTCATTCTTTCAATAATAATAATGTCATAATGGTAATAGAATGGTTTGTTTTAAAAGAGGAAATAGTTTAAAATACAAATAAACATAGAAACAAAACTATATAGATCACCATGTGTATTTCAATTCGATTTTTGCACAAAATTCAAAATACATTGAAGAATTCCAATAGTTGAAATCATGAGTCAATTGAAGCTAGACTACCATGGAAAACCTGGAAGTACTGGACAGCCGTTTCGTCCTAGTATGGGACTCCTCAGCGGTGCGCATTCACGAGCCCGCTCCTCGCGAGATTCGGACCCAGGACCCATCAGTCCCGTGCGCGAGCACTGAACCATTAAACCCTTGAACCTGCCAGTATCCAACGGTGTTAATGTCTAACTTCAACCAATCCACGAAATCGCTCCACCGTACAAAATTGTCTTCGGTGGGCCTTCCAGTACTTGCAGGTTTTCCATGATGGTCTAGTTTCAATTGACTCATGGTTTCAACAATTGGAATTTCTAAAAATCTCTACAAAACCCCTTCTGACAATGAAGAATACTATTCATCTTACTAACTAAAGATTATTGTTGCTTTAGTTCGGGAATTGATAAAATTGTATTTTGTACAATTACACATAATAAATATGCCATGATATATAAACTAGATTAGGGAAAATACCTGCTTACGATTGTATTTGAGTTTACTTAACGTGAATTACGATAGAATCAATGTTTTTGTGGATAAAATGTATCCTCCCACTTTAATTAGGTTTTATGATCGTAACATCTAACTCTATAATCTTTTGCTTATTAGAAACAGTAAATCAGTATTAATCATATCAAAACTATTTAACCAACGTAAAGTTGTCATTATAACTAGAGGTGTTTGGTGACTAGCAGTGGAATTTAGGACATACGTTTCGTTCTGTTTATGACTTGTTATTTAGTCCTGGAGTGAACATCAACTTTGAGATGCAGGTTGATCCAGCTAACGATTTCCAGAGGGGACAAGACGAACTTCCTGAATTTCACTGCCATACATCATCCATTTTTGCTTACAATGCTTGTCACATAAGGTGATATAGAAGCAATTCGCACATTATGCACATATGCCAACAAGAGACTGATCAATTGCAGTCCTAAATAATAATGGGAAGATTCAAGTAAACAATACCAAGTGAATCTAAACTTCACCCCATTTCACAAGCAAGTGGCTGTCAGGGCCCAATAGCTAAGTGGATAACGCGATGGAGTTTTAAGCGAACGGTATTGGATTCGAGTGACAGAGTGAACATCAACTCTGAGATGCAGGCACGTTCAGCTGACGAGTCCCAAATAGAACGAAACGCGCGTCCTGCATTCAACTGCTAGTCACTATCTATCTTTGTATATACTGCATGTGAATTGAGGCTACATCGAGGAAATATGCACAGACTGATCAAATTGCAGTCCTAAATAACAATGGGAAGATACAAGTAAACAGCACCAAATGAATTTATATCTATTGATAGGTTGAACAATAATACTAACCAGCATAATATGGAGTATATTTCAGTTTTCTGCAATAAAATAAAATCATCTTACCTCAAACTGTTGTGAACTCATAATACAGGGGAATTCAATATCCTGTAACCATAGAAGAGGATAAATTACTCTTCTAAAATGATCTGAATATAATTTCTTCAAATATTCAGAATCTTTCTGTGAAATAATAAATAAAAGATAAAAGTGACGCATTTTCATAACCTTCTAGTATTCGAAACGTGATTTACTTGTATGAAAATGATGAAATATTTATATGATTGATTCAACAGTCAAAATGTATTCAGAAAGCCTTAAAGTGTTAAAGAATATGTGAGTTATAAATAATTATGGATTACTCATATCCGTATAAATGTTGTACATCTTGAAGTTTAACTAGAAAAGTAGCTTAATTCTCTTTCTAATTTTAGTGGATTAAAATAAACAGTTCCAAATATCTAATGATACAATCAATTTCTCAGATGACCAACAAGGAAATGGTACAGAAACAACTGAATTTAAATAGGAAGATATACTTTGAAAACATGTTGAGGTAATATATTAGAGATACCAAATAGATAAAATGCCCATTCATGATAATACCAAAGGTGAAAAATAAGTGTTTTCAGGCTTCTTGAGTTTCTATTAGTGAGGGATTTAAAACTATCCTCGTGTTGTAAACTCGATTACTCTGTTCTCAGTAATAAAGCTTACTGATTAGAATTGGTCTTTTCTTTTTGTATATTTTGGTTGATCAGGTGTAGAATAGTGCATCAGTAAGTAAATTAAACTGGAGAATATAACAAAAACATCAGATTTCCATTAATTTAGAGAAACTGTTTTACCTTACTATTGCCTGGAATTTCTTTCAGACGATCTTGCCACGAAACCTATCAAATAAAATCAAGGAGAATAGAGAACAGATAAATATTCTATTTGATTTTGATAAAATATATGAGTATGAGACAGAGAGAAGCTTGACGTTCAGTTAATGAATTCATCAACACTAAAGAGTGAAAGGTTGAGTTCATATCTACTTTAAAAAAAACACACAAAAATTTATGACTACATAAATTGACGTCATACAATCTCGAAATGAATAGGACTTTCTTTTCGGAGATTCTCAATTACCTGAAAGATTATATCCATCTTGTCTCATTAAGGTTATGTGAAACTGATGGACTTTTGGTTCAATATGAAAATGTCTCTTTAACGTTTAGTAATGATTGTCGGTGTGTCTGCTGAAAAGTAGTTCAACCATTACGTTCGATCATCCTGTCTACTAAAATAGTGTTAGCCATATGAGATTGCTTATGGTCCTCGAACTGCTTGACAGAAATGAAAAGGTGGTATCGGCATGAGATGTAAACGAGTGAAAGTGAAATAGTGTTGAAAATGCAGAGCCTTAGTTCTGTGGATTCCATGAGGTGTTTATAACAATAAAAGAGGAGATAGGACCTCAATGCTAAACTTACAGGAGTTCAACCCAAATAAACTTTACTTGGTTCGTTTAAAAATCCTGGAGATGGTGGATAAATTTATCAAAAAAATAATAATTTTCTACAATATTGAAGGTTAAAACATTTTAAAAACTTGTCTTCTGACAACTAAACACCATTTCGTATCAACTATCCTAATATAATATTAAATTAGTTTAACACTTACACGTAGACATTCAATAAGTAATGGACAATCTGCAACAATAGGAAATAATGCAACTTCTGGTTGAACATAACGTAAAATTAATTGATCTTTATCATCGGTTCTTCCAAAACCAGGGAATATATTAGCTAAGAAATCACGATGATAACTGAGAAATGGTGCATAACCAACTAGACCAATTAGAATGTCAGGTAAAGAGCTGAAAATCCATTTATTGAAGAATTATATTAGATTTCTAACAAAAATACAAGCCTTATATACGCTTCATCAGTTTAGAATTACAATGTAAAAAATGATGGAATATTTAATTTTGATTGACCTTACAATAAAGCAAATTATGTAATTGTTGAGGACGTTAGATCCCCAGAACTCAATTAGAAAAGGTCCTAATTTTGTAATCTTATTCTGAGAATTTGAATTTTATGTTTTCGCGCCAAGAGACGCTTAGTTGACCCACAGCTTACATTTCCCACTCGGATATCATTGACTGTCATTAGTTGACGGATTTTTTTTAACACGCTATTTTGTGGCTCTCCCAAGGGCGTTTCTGTCATGGTATAAATAAGCTTGATTTGTGTGCTTAGTGACTTTGTATTTTCTGGGTGTTTGTAGAATACATTCTCTGCGCCACATCAAGACATCTTCATCTAGTTATCAGGGCCGGGGACAGCAGATTAGAATAGCCTATCGTGTCACTGTATCTTTGACCTTCGTTCTGTTTACCGAGTAAGGTGAACTCGTAATTGCATTCAAGCATATTAGTAATAGGATTACGTAGAACATGTAACGTTCTGATAGAAAATCTATGACGAAAATACTTTTAATTAATTAGCCAAAATCTCAAATTTTAATTTAAGCAATTTCTGTCAGTTGGTATTTGATAATGAATCAACTAGATTATGTATATCCATATTCCCCTTATTATAAGCTTCATTTTGACCTATAGATTATAATTGTACGATTTACTGCTCTTAAGTTATACTCAGCTTATTGATTACCGTCTCCCACGTTCACAACCGCTTTTGGGCTTGATTTTGTATAAATGTTATTTTCTATTTTATGGTGTGATGCGATCTGTTTGACCGGTATATAAACTAAGTATGTTTGAAATAAATGATTCTCATAGTGGAAGCTGTTATTGGTGTTCTTGACTCAACTGGATGGTCTAGGTGAGCAAATGACGCTAGGCTGCTCATACCGATCGAACGTCATTGGTTTAGCACAATACTAAAATTGAATAAGTCGTATTTCGATTGGTAATAAAAAGCCGGCCTTAAAGTCACAACATTTTTGTAAACTATCAGTTAACATTCATTTGGCATTGTTTACGTGTATCTTCCCAATTATTGTTTAGGACTGCAATTAATCAGTCTCTTGTTGACATATATGCATCTTGCGCCGACTGCCTCGATACACTATCCAAACAATTGTTAACATTCTTTACACATAAATTTCATGATAAAAGAGAATGCTGTTACTTAGACAGTGATAAGAACAGATAAAATACCCCTTATGATAATAATAATAATAAACTATAAATTTACTAAACGAATTGTACCATGTTTACCACAATTAATTACTTTAATTTATCTTGTTGTTCTTTATTCGGTTGACTAAATCGAATTGTTACTTGAGTTGTTTTATTAAAAAGTAAATTTTGCATACGACTCTTTAAACTCACTGAAAAGATAAAACATGGTTAGGATATGTATCAGTGAATTATGTAGAGAATTGAGTTTTCAGTCATTAACTTGTTTACAATATTAAATATATGGTGCTTTTCCGTTCATTTAGTAAGTTAGTGAGTGTCGACTGTATAGTGAATGATGAACTCATGTAGGGGAAACCAATTTATTGTTTTCATAAAATAGGATAAGTATACATTAAATACATTATTTGCATATTTTCTATCAGTTGTCTTTTTATATGCTTCATGATTCCTTGAATTTTGTTGTTATTAACATTGCACTCTGTTTGCATTCCTGTTCTTTTTAATTCAGTCTTCTGCTGGCAGGCATTCCAATTCTGATAAGTGTTAAACACTACTTATATCTGCTAACATAAATAGTATACACCACATGTGTATGGGTATACTTTGCATTTGGCAATTTCATTTCAACCTCTGACTTTCATATTATTTGCTTTTTTCTCACTCAATAAGTTGACATGAGTTACAGTGGTATGTTCGTAGAGAACATATCGAAATAACTTCAAATGATTGCAATGAAACCCTCAATAAAAACTATATTATATATTCATCTATCAAATAAATAGAAAAACACTCGAAGATCTTAGATATTACACTTTTGTTGAGCAATGGCAGAAGGATTGTTATCCTCATACAAATAAAATCAGTTTGATTTTTATTTACATAATTTTAATCTAGATTCTACGTATTAAGCTTTACTCTAATATACAAGATGTATGACAGTGGTCAATCGTTAGATAAAACCAATCATATCTATTGGTCCATTGTATAATTTCGTTGTTTCTCAATAATTTTTGAGCTTGTCTCTTACATGGAACATAAGCTAATGAATCCGAGTCTGTAATCCTAGTCTATGTGTTCAGAAAGAATTCATGACACTTTTATCCCTTCCTTGACCGTATGTAACTTCATAAATGACTTTTATCTTTTTCTTACATCTTATACTTATTTGTCGTTCTTCAGCTTCTATCCTTTATATTCTTCACCATCTCGATATTTACACACTTTTTACTACATAAATTGAATAATTTTTGGTAATCAGTATTTCAATGTCTGTTTTATATTTTAAATTTTGACCTACTTTCCATGTTGAATTATTGACTAGGACTTTTATTATTATTATCACTACTAAAACACTTGTTTTATCACCATCAATTTGTACTTTCCATCCACTATGCATAGTTATGCAATCTAGTTCATTGTGGTCACTGACTGATTAATTATCTTGACTAGTTTAATATTTTCATGTATCCATACAAATATTCCTGTATATCAGAGTAATGGAGATAGACATGAGAAAAATCAAAAAGAATTGGATGGAACTAGAAAAGAAGGCCCAGGACAGAGTGGGTTGGAGAATGCTGGTCGGCGGCCTATGCTCCATTAGGAGTAACAGGCGTAAGTAAGTAAGTAATATCAGAGTAAAGCCTGATGAAGTTCGAATTCAAAAAACAATACCGTTTTTTTGTATATGTTGCTCTAATTTTCGCAGTAGGTATCTTCTTTATTTATATAATAGATTATTGGAATCATGGACTAATCTAATTTACATAACCACTAAAAACGTAGAAGTACTGGACAACCGTTTCATCCCACTTGGGGACTTCTCAGAAGTGCGCACCCAAGACCTCATACACGAGAATCAAACCTCTCAAAAATCAAAATGTTACGGGATGTTACAGGTATTTAAAAATTTAAATTATTACCTGTTATATTCCTAATCTTCATTAAATGAGAAGATTTTGATTATATTTATTCCTGATTCACTTCAGATTTCAAAGTGCAACTAACTTTGGATACCAGTGTTGATTATAAATCAGTATTATAATTATATGACCTTTTAGTGACTGAATTCAGCCTCATTTCATTCGTCTAAGTGTAAACAATCAAGTAGACCTTATAGTTCTCTACAATTAGATTTAACTCTAACAATTATGTAATCATGATTTTGATTGTTTGATTGACTATTTTCTTTTACGGTGTTTTGTATGTACAAATGTGATAATTGTAGTCTTTTGAACAAGAATTTATGTGAATAGTAATATCAAGTCAACTTAATTAGTCAAGTCATAAGACGTGAGTAACTGAGACAAATGGAAGTAACCGCATCTTATGTAAAAAAAGATACAAAAGACATTTTATGCTCGTGCAATATCGCAGACTGATTAAAGTTAGACATTAACACCGTTGCATGCTGACTCAATGGTCTAAAGTTTAATCTTTCGCGCAAGAGACCGGAGATCTTGGGTTCGATTACCGTTTGAGAGATGATGGATGCGTAATGTTGAGGATTCTCATGTTGGGGTGAAATGGACGTCCAGTACTTTTAGGTTTCAAGCGATTGTGTAAATTAGATTGGTCCATGATTTTAACGAAATTTTTAAAATTACTTTACTCATAGGTTCCATTCATGCTCATTACCTATTGTGTTAAAAAAAGACATCCGAAGTCTATTAGTATTATTGTTCTTATTACTTAGCATGAACACACGCAGGATCAGCATTATTATCATTTGTATTTGATGACTTTAACTTACAATACTTACCATCTTTAACTGATGTCTTATTCCCCTTTCCATTTTCAAAAGGTAAACTATCCTGCAATTGGTAGTCACAAGTTCTAAAATTAAAAAGTGTCAATTTCATTTAGAGTTTTATTAAATATAACACACTCACTTATTTGGTATGATTTGACCGTTTTCATCATATAATGGGATAGTGACCCAACCAAGACTTAGTTCAATTGGTTGGTTAGAATTCTACGTGATGAAATAAAGGACAAATTATGGAAAACAAATTGAGTAAAAACACACAAACTAAAGTAGGACTACATATTTCTGATATATATATATATATATATATATATATATATATCATCAGTCCTGATAGGCTATTATTTGACGAAATCTCGGCACGGATTCAGAAAGCTCTTTTGGCTTTAATCAACTTGCATCGCTTATGGCAAGTTATCCGTCTACCAACCAATGGACAGTTTCATTGAATAGCAGTTCATTTGGTTCTACCTTATTTACATGAAACATTGGCATTAGGAATAGAGGATATTTGTAAGTTACTAGTGCCTTATCACAAAAGTCTTGAAAGCATTACTCGTATATTTTGGGACTATCAAATAAGTAATGCCTGAGTTAGCAGTATGGCACTTGGTAAAGATGACAAATCGATTGGCAAGGTAGTAAATTTTCATCAACTGAAGTGTTTGGGACGTGTGTATGCTCAACCATCGCTTATCTCGACGAGCGATATTGTATAGTATAGTAGTAAGTTGGAAGAAAGCTACTGACAGCCAAATCTTCATTTTATGCATGCTGTGACATATTTGATTAATATCATTTATAAAAATTACATGTCTTCTTAATATTCACCGACCGAAGACAATATATGATGAATGAAATTTCGTATTCTCACTTATGTATACACACAATCTTTTATCTTAACACTGTTCATTTCACACCACATGTCTCTTATACACTAATGCAAATACCTACTTTAAACATTTTTAGCGTTAATTGGATGACCTATTCAGTATACAGTGAAACGGAGAACCATGTACTTATATGTATTCAATAGTTTTGATGTTTGATTATATTTCCTTGAAAAAAACCTTGAAGAAGATTGCTAGGTGAAACGTTGGATTTGATGAATACATTCTTCCTCTTCAATGTTTTCACCAACATAGTTATAATTCTTATCTATTCGGCGAAACTGTGATTTATGGACGAACCAATCAGATTTACGATAACGGGTCATTCATCCATTTGGTTAGAGTTTTGACATTATAGCTGATGTCAATTCGTGATGAAAAACCGTAAATCTAATTCCTAATGTTAACTATCAACTGTAAATCATAATCCTTATTCTTTAAACTACTTTATAACCTTCATTTCGACCTAATAAGTCCTTAGACACACTCAATGTCACTTTGACGTCGTTCAATGATCATTCATCAATGATAATCTCACCATTTATTCTTTTAATCCATAATTTTCAAGTATTATTTAATGATTTTCAATGGTTAAGATCATGAGTCAGTTGAAGCTAGACCACCATGGAAAACCTGGAAGCGCTGGATGGCCTTTTCGTTCTATTGTGGGACTCCTTAGCAGTGCGCATCCGCGAATAGAATTAAATAAATTTTATATTTAAATAAACATGGATCAAATCATAATTTATTTTACCTGTTTACTAATAATAATTTGAATTTCCATCAATATACAAATATTCATATTTTGATCATTATAACGTATAAATAAATCGGAGGATAATTCATAAGATTTTTCCGACTTTTTTATATTCTATAATTAATAAGAAAACAAAACAAAAAACTTTTTTCTCAAGTGCCACGTTTGGAGCGATTACGAATTCACTTAGTCTGCAAACGGAAACAAAAACTTGTGACCAAACACCAATAAACTAGCCCCGTTCACTAGAGAGAGAAGTCGAAGTCGAAACGGGGAAGTATATTCAGCAAAAAAGCCAAAAGCACTAACGATAACAACAGACACAAATCAAAACGTGTATATACAGCACAAAACCGTCCTTAGGAAGCGCTACAAAATACCATACTAAAAGATACAACAGACCAATAGTGTTTAAGATTCTACCAAGTGAGAAATACGACATGAAGGTGAAAAGAACGCTTTTGATGCGAAAACAAAGAAATTCAAATTTTCTAAATAAAATTACAAAATCAGGTCCTTTTCCAAGTGAGTTCTGGGGATCTAACGTCCCCAACATCAAGGTAAATGTTTTGTCTTTTTTAAATCGCGAAATTAAAAGGTTTAATAATATTTTAAATAAACAACAACAAGAAACTAATAGGATGTAAGGCGAGTCTCCAATTTATGGACGAGCCAATCAGAAGCGTTCTAGAGATTTCAAGGTTACAGCGCCAACTTCAGTGCTTAAGGCTAACGTACGATCGGTTCACAGGGAATTTCGTTCATAATGTGATAATTGAGCGGCTATAAGAAATGAAACGGCGAGACTGTAATTTCTGGACGAATCAATCAGGTATAAGATCATAGATCTCGAATTTTAACGCGAAAGCTTTTCGTGCATTTGGCTAAATAAATTTCTGGCATTATAGCTGATGTCAGTTCGTGATGAAAACCCCATATATAATTCCTAACTAAGGTAAATTATCGCGAACTGGATAATAAAAGCACCAGTAACACCAGCTGCAGCCAGGCACTACAATATATACAGATGTTTGGAGAGCGTACAGACTCCTCCATAGGCTTGGTTATGTGCATCGTGTCGTTATCCACAAGTAGCATTTTGTACACTCAACAATTGGAGTGCACATAAACAATATTGAAGCTATGTGGTCGAGGCTGAAACAGTTTTTGAGACTTTCTCGTAACTCCAGGGGCCGACTATTCCGTGGCTATATGGATGATTTCCTCTACTGCATGAATTAGGATTTTAGAACCTCTGAACCTATTCCTAACCTTGACAAGTTTTTGAACCACGTATAAGAAGTGTATCCACTTTATTTCCTTGGTTTTGTATAATATATTTTTACTCTATACTGTCTGTGTGCTGATTGGCTAATATCTCTCAAGGCCACTTAAGATTCGTTCAAAAGTCGTCCATAAATTAGAGTCTCGCCGTTATTTAAGCTTGATAGTTTTTATATATTTTAACGCCTTCAATACAAAATAACTATTAGATCTCTATACCCTTTAAAGTGTAATATCAGTTACTATGTTAAGCCAATATTACCTTATTCTAGCTTCTAGATAGATCAATTTATCTATTCTTCTTGAGTTATGTTTTGACTGTTTTTATATGAGCGCATATATGTGTACACTCCATATTTTTATTCGGCTATAAATATCGATTAGTGTTTGATTAGTTGGAGTTGGCTTACCCGCGTTCTCCACTATGCATTATTTCGCTACGTCCCTCTAATTATCTGTCCATATCCATATCTGTCCATTTACATAACCAATAAAATCTTATATGTGTCAAACGACCGTTTCGTCCTAGTATAGGAATCCTCAACAGTGCGCATTCACCACCCCTAAAAAACTGTTTTAGTACCCAAGATCTCTGGTCTCTCGCATGAACACAACTGTGCTAATGTCTAAATTCAATCGATTTACAATATTGTATGCCTATCTTCCATTGTTTACGGTGGGAAACTGCCTTATCCCAGACAAGATTTAGTTCCACTGGTCATGGCTTCTTAACAGAACTCTGGAAATTTTCCGATGAAGCCAGTCACTAGTGAGCACATGATAATTATCCTATGGAAGTCTAACTTAGATCGGTTCATAAATTAAGTGAAATTCAATAATCTTCACAAACTCTTACTAAAATTTTACGTATTCATTTTGATGAATTCCAACAGACAGTACAAGAAATCAATGTTTTTGTGTTGTAACACTTGGTTGAAATTATGTACATCAGGTTTGTTATAAGAAAAAAATACCCTAGAGCCTAATGCTAGTAGATTAGAGGACAATATTTTGAGTGTTAATTTTTGGAACCGATGCTGTGAAACCATATTTTTGTAGTGATTTTGAAAAAAGTGATAACTCATTTTGATGTTTGATATCACTTTCAACCTATGAATAAGTGGTTTGTATAAATCAAGAATATTTCTCTAGAAATTAATGAGATTTAAACAAGTATAGAGGTTTTACATTATGTTTAAATGTTTTTTTCATGTTTTATAATCAGTATTCAGATTTTAATAGTTAAAAAGAATGTTTATTATGCAGACTCATTTACTTAATTGGAATAAAACTTCTTTCAGAATAATTTATAAGCCTGAAGCAAATGTATAGAAAGTATTATAAGCAAAGATGGATAGTGGCTAGCAGTGGAGTCCAGGACGCGCGTCTCGTCAGCTGGATGTACCTGCATCTGAGTTGATGTTCACTCTGGAACTCGAACTCAGTACCGTTCGCTTCAAACGCCATCGCATTATCCACTTAGCTACTGAGTCCTGATAGCCACTTGCTTGTGCAATGGGTTGAAGTTTAATTCACTTGATATTGCTTTACTTTGCCTATAATGCTTGTAAATTAAGGCAATATCGAGGCATACGCACAGTATGCACATATGCCAATAACAGACTGATCAATTTCAGTCCTAAAAACATCAATGGGAAGATTCAAGTAAAGCAATATCAAATGAATTGTATAGAAAGTATGTTCAATTTATATAAATTGTACTCTATCACAGTAATTATTATTCATTAAGTCAATAAAACTATGCATTAGTTCAAACAATAAGATAAGAACCCACTAACTTATGTGTATTATATACAGGTTACATCATAAAAAGTAAATACTTACAATTTTTTTTCTCTTTAACACTATGAGATGTCCTATGCTTTTATGTATAAAAGAAAGTTATCTTACTAGTTGTAAGTATGTAGTGAGTACTGTGGTTAAAGATTCATATTCTACCAAGTTTCAGATCAAATAAATGATAATTAAACAAAAGAAACTTGTGGATCTTTTCTCTGATTCTAGCTAGTTCATCAATAAAATTATTGTTAAGCTTGTTTACGTTCTCTGTCTTTATTCGACTTCCAATCAACTCTTTTGTGCATTATTTTATACTACTTGATAATATTCAGTAAATAGTTGTGTTCCTAGAAATTTCCACATGTATGTTGTAACGCAAGTTTATCGTGTAATATTCTAGAATATTTACATGTACTTATAACATTTATAGCATTTATTTCTTTTAATCCCTGTAGCAGTTACTCTCATTTTTTGTGTCGTCTTTTAATCCATTTTTAAACGTAATGGTTTCCATATCGTTTGTTCATGGTTCCGTTTTTGCTTGTTGATAAACTGTTGTCAAGTTTAGACACAACTTCAGCTGTCATTTACACTATCGTACGTTGAAATTATTCTTGATGTTACTATTGCAAGAATTCTTTTTTATTTTAGACCTACAGGAACAATAAACGCCACAGATATTTTACAAGTTGAGGTTCTTAACTAATTTATGTTTATTATTCAATAAAGAACCGCTTTTTTTTAGACAAATTGCCGTTTTTGTGAACTTCGATTTCGCAAGTATCATAATTGTGTTATTTAGATACTTGGATAGATTCAACGGTTATTTTTATACTAAATAGGTTTCTTTTGCTTGAAAATTTTTGAAACTAAATGTGTATGAATGACACTGTGACGAAATAGCATGTCAGTAAAATTCACTGTGTTTTATCATAATTTTTATTCATCAGATATTAAAATAAAACGGGAATAACATGAATTTATAATACTATGTTAATAAGTATCTTACATGTGGAGTAACTATCCATGTTTTCTTTTCACGATCTGTCGGTGTTATAGGTAGATAACAAATATTACTGATAGGCTAGAAAAAAAATTAGTTTTGAAATAAAAGACAAATAAATAGTGTCAGTCAAGTAAACAAGAACAATATTCACATCACTAAATTTAGTCAGTTATAAATAACGGATGGAAAGAAATGTATCAGTATGAGGGTTGTGGATGCCGGCTCAGTGGTCTAATGGTTAAGTGCTCAGGCGCGAAGCCAGTAGGTCTTGGGTTCGAATTCCGTGGGGTGCGGGATCGTGGAGGAGTCCCATACTAGGACGAAACGGCCGTCCAGTGCTTCCAGGTTTCCAACGGTGGTCTAACATCAATTAATTCATGATCTCAACCAAAAAGAAATGTATCAGTTAAAGTTGCCATATTTTAGAAAAGCGCAGTCAAAATTAACAGTGTGAATATTAGCAAGATAAAATTTAGAAAATTGTAGAAATACTGAAATCGAATGTAGTTATAAACTAAGCATCTGATCGTGGATATATACTGCCGAAGAATCGCATTCTAGGACGAAACGACCGTCCTGTACTTCCAGATTTTTAATGATGTTATAGCATAGATCGACTCACGAATTCATTTGTTTAAAATTACTACAACCTCTACAAAATTCTCATATTGATATGATAAATAGTTCGTAAAAGGAAAAAACAAGATTGTGAAATGAAAAGAATAACTTAATAGTTCTAAAGTTAAAAGCAATAATGTCTATACTTCACCGTGGTGGATTGTATGTTTTGTTGTCTAAAGTGTTTAGAATTTCAATTACAATCACTTTGAGAGATTCGACTGGAAATTTAAAAAAAAATGATGTAATTCACATTAACATTCAAGGGCTTAATGGGTTGTTAGGCGGTTGAGGGAGGTTGTGACAGAAAACTTGTTAATGTACGTTTTATACTAGTTGGTTCCCGCCAGCAAATTATAGCTGTATGCCCAACCACCGACTACCCCGATGTGTGATGTTTTATGGTGTAGGAGTAGAATGGAAGAAAGCTAGGGGCAGCCAGACCAAAACATCGCATAAATCCATGAAGTCACTGACAAGTTGACTGAAACATGTTGGTAGATGTAGACTAACTGGTTGTGATCCGCGAGACGATAGTAACCGATGGTTAAAGACCTTGGATGATATGCCTCAGAATCGTTCGCAATGGCGCAGGTGCATCCACTCTTTCTGTTCTCCTAAATCCTAATCTTCTGAAATCTTCATGTGTCTTACTTTCTCTCTTTTCAAATTTATTTCACTGGATTATACTCCTTGAATAACATCTTCAAACTCTAATCTTTCCAATTACTGCTTATACTCTTACTACCCCTACCACTATGGGATTTGAATCAACGATTGTGTCTGTGTGATAATGTGGTATGACAACTTGAACTGATGTACGTGCGTACGAAGTTCTACGTCGTTGCTGACTGACTGACTGACTGATTGAAATTACCTGTGGGAATGAAACTCTCATCCCGCAACTTCAATAGTCTTCAACATGGCGCTGGTGGAGTGATGTCATATGTTAGTTTGATTGTGCCTAGGTTCTTTTACAATATGCACCTAGGTTAGTCATTCAAATAGATTATGACAGGTTCCCTATCATAACGCCTACGTGGTTTATTATATCTTTAAAATAAACAAGGTTACACGTTCTTTTTGAGTCATTTATTTGCCTTTTTCAACTATTCGTCTGTACCCTTAAATGTTTAGATGTTTACTTATCACTTACCGTATTCATTACCTGTCTCCAGTTAACTATTATCTATCTCACTATTAATAGTTAACCACGCTTACTAAAATTGAACAGATAGCGTTGCTGTTATCATATTTCTCCAAGAATAAATGTCTGAATTAAATACATTTCGTATCTGGCTTTTAATACTACCATTATATAGTAGGGTTAACTTAAACATGATATCCAAGATTAAAGAGAGAATTTAGGTTTCACACTGTTCATTCAACATCTCTTGTCGATGATAATTTGAGTCTGTGACTGTGAGGCTGGGCGACACGAAATCAAATTCGTCAAGATTACAGGTACACCTTGCTGACGAATGCCAAATAGTATGAAACCTAGATCTAGGGTTTCTTGCCGACTACCTCCAATCATTATCTCATCTTAACATAGTGCATGCGATATCAGGTCACCTAGACTAGTGGGTACATTGCAACTTGGTCGATAGAATCCCATTTGTACTCCGAGGAATCTGACACACTTAACATTCATTAATCATTGATCAATCTAACACTTATGGCCTATTACTAGAACTAAAAAGTTTCATTTCAAAGTCAATTAATAATGAGAACATTATCAATATTTGAATAAACATTTCAATATCATAAAACAAAAATTCACTTACCATTATACCATCAAATAAACACAAACGTACTAAGCAGTTTAATATAGATAAATCTACAAATTTTGTAATTATAAATTTAACAATGGATTGTATTAATACTTGACTCTTCCAAAATGGATAATTGTGTAATTTTTTGAATTGTTATAATCTTTTGCCAACGTGGCTGACGTCGTGTTATCTGGATGTTAAAAATATGAATGTTTATTGAATGAAATTGTTAATTATTGAATGAATGAAAGAAAGAAAGAACTATATCAGAACAAAATGAAGATTCTTTTATTGTTATAGATTATTAATGCTGACTGGTTGTACATTCAAGTTTTTGTAATCATCACAGAATTTGATCAGCCTTAAGGACTGGAAAAACATAACACTAATTACTATTTAATGAGTCATTTGAAGTTAAACCAGTATAAAAAACCTGGAAGCACTGGATGGTCGTTTCGTTCCACTGTGGGACTCCTCAGCAGTACTCTTTCACGACCCCACCTCGCGTGGCTCCAACCCAGCACCTGTCAGTCTCGTGCGTAAGTACATAACCACTAGACCACCGAGCCAGCATCCAACAATGGTGAATGTGTCGCTCAATTTCGTGGATTAGTTGAATTTAGACATTAACACCGCTGGATACCGGCTCAGTATTCTAGTGGTTAAGCGCTTGAGCGCGAGACTGATAGGTCCAGGGTTGGAATCACGAAAGGTGGAACCGTGGATGCGTACTGTTGAGGAGTCCCACTGTAGGACGAGACGGCCGTCCAATGCTTCCAGGTTTTCCATAGTGATCTAGCTTCAATTGACCTATGAATCCAACATTTGAGATTACATAATAGCCAATTTTAAATACGATTCTTAAATCCAGGTACTTTATTTATATTAAGTACTCGAATCGTTTGCCTGCTAGGGCAAACGATTCGAGTACGTGGAACGCTAATCCTGGTCTCCTGAAGCCACGCTCTAAACTACACGTAGGAGCTTTTAACGTACGAACACTTTGCCAAATAGGACAGCAGGCTTCATTAGCTAGGACTTTAGAATCTCGCGCCATCGATGTGTGCTGCGTCTCCGAAACGCGCATACAGGATCCAAGTAGCGTCATTCATTTGACCTCACCATGCCAAAATAAAGAACCGACTCGATTTACGCTTCGTGTATCTGGGAGCCCTGATTCTGCTTCCCGCGGCCTTGCCGGCGTAGGTATAGCATTGAGTCCTAGGGCAGAACTAGCTCTCTTAGAGTGGATCCCAGTAGACAGTCGTTTGTGCGCTGTCCGACTGAACGGAACAGTAAGAATCCGGAAAGATAGGGACACTCGTCGTTGCCTCTTCGTCGTCTCTGCCTATTCTCCCACTGACTGCAGCTCAGATGATGTAAAAGATGAGTTTTACAGAAAGCTTTCGGACCTTCTCCGAAAAGCTAAGCGCTCGGATGTAGTAATTGTGGCCGGCGACTTTAATGCTCAAGTAGGTAAACTAAGCGATAGGGAGAGACACCTGGGTGGATCTTACGGTGTCGTGGCTCAAAGAACAGATAATGGCGACCGTCTGTTGCAGCTATGCTCAGATAACCGCCTGTTCCTTGCAAATACTAACTTTAAACATAAGGAAAAACATCTTTTAACATGGAGACCCCCTAATTCGTCCCAACGTTGGACCCAAATAGATCACATCGCTATCAGCCACCGATGGAGGGGCTCGATAGAAGACTGTCGCTCATTCTGGAGCACATGCCTAGATTCAGATCATGCTCTAGTGCGAGCGCGTATTTGCTTGCGTCTAACTGGACGTAGGAAAGACACTGCAAGAAAACCTCTTAGGGGCCTACTTAATGATAGTCAAGCTAAGAGTATATTTCAGGAACAACTAGGAAAACAGTTAGGCAGCCATGTATGTGATGCCCACCCCGATGCAGCATGGAATGATATCCAAAAAGCTGTGGAAACAGCAGTGATATCTGCTAGTAAGGTAAACCAGAAGGTTAGGGAGCAACACTGGATCTCAGCAGCATCTATCTCACTGATAGATGCTCGGAAACTCATTCCACCTGGCTCTGAACATAATGAAGAGCGGAGTCAGCTTAAGCGCAAGCTGACCAGAAGCCTACGCAACGATCGCGAACAGTGGTGGGTAGCGAAAGCAAGACAGATGGAAAAGGCAGCGGCAATAGGTAATAGCAGACAATTGTTCAGACTCGTTAAGGAAACCGGAATTAGGAACCCGACCGTTAGCGAAACAATCTCAGAGAAAGATGGACATATTATTCATTCTCAATCCAGGAGATTGGATCGATGGGCAGAACACTTTAGGGATCAGTTCAACTGGCCTTCAGCCACACTTCGGTTTCCCACGATCTCTAGTCAACCTGAATGGCAAGTTAATGTAGGTCCTCCGACTTTTTACGAAGTTGAAAAAGCCATAGGAAATCTGAAACGAGGGAAAGCAGCAGGCCCTGACAGGTTTACTCCTGAGATTTTTAAGGATGGTGGTCCAGTATTAGCAATGAGATTAACCGAGGTCTTAAGTAGAATTTGGGAACTGGACGTAATCCCATCTGACTGGTCTCAATCACTGATTGTGCCAGTCTATAAGAAAGGACAAAAGTCCTCTTGTGACAATCACAGAGGAATCAGTTTGACTAATATAGTGTCTAAAATATTAGCTTCAATAATACTTCGACGCCTAATCAAAGCTCGTGAAGAGCAGACTAGAGAAAATCAGGCTGGTTTTCGACCTGGACGTGGTTGTATAGATCAGATATTCACACTACGTCAGGTTCTAGAACACAGACACACATTCAGACGCCCCACAATGGTAGTATTTCTCGACCTTAAGGCGGCATTCGACTCTGTTGATCGTGAGGTTCTATGGCAGTGTTTGTCACTGAAAGGAGTACCAAAGAAGTACATTAACCTTATAAAGGCTCTCTACTCGAACACAACTGGTAGAGTGAGAGCTTATGGCGAACTGTCATCAGAATTGATTACCTCAAGTGGTGTTCGTCAGGGCTGTCCACTCTCCCCATTCTTGTTCAACTTTGTCGTGGACATACTTCTAGAGATAACACTTTCCTCATCTAGATTTCCAGGGGTTGAACTTCTACCGGGAGGTTCACTTGTTGACTTAGAATATGCAGATGACATAGTTTTATTTGGTGAAGACGCTGACAAAATGCAGAGTCTTCTGACCACTCTAAGCAACAATGCAAGCATGTTCGGGATGAGATTCTCTCCCTCGAAATGCAAAATGTTGCTTCAGGATTGGGTTACATCGGCACCCGAACTAGTGATAGGGAGTGAAGTAGTTGAGTGTGTCGACCGCTTCACTTATCTTGGAAGTCTCATCAGCCCTTGTGGTCTGGTGTGTGACGAAATCTCAGCACGGATACAGAAGGCTCGACTAGCTTTTGCCAACTTGCGTCATTTATGGCGTAGGCGAGATATCCGTCTATCAACCAAAGGACGTGTTCGCTGTGCAGCAGTTCGTTCCGTCCTACTTTATGGCAGTGAAACATGGCCGGTAAGAGTAGAGGATATCCGTAGGCTACTAGTATTTGATCATAGGTGTCTTCGAAACATTGCTCGTATATCATGGGACCATCGAGTAAGTAACACAGTTGTTAGGAAACGGGTACTAGGTAAGGATGGCAAATCAATTGATGAAGTAGTGAAACTTCATCAGTTCAGATGGCTGGGACACGTGTTACGTATGCCCAACGACCGACTGCCTCGACGTGCTACGTTCAGTGGTATAGGAGTAGGTTGGAAGAAAGCTAGGGGCGGCCAAACCAAAACATGGCACAAGTCCATGAAGTCACTGACAAGTGAACTGAGTCATGTTGGTAGGTGTAGACTACCTGGTTGGGGACCGCGAGATGATACCAACCGATGGTTAGAGACCCTGAATGACATGGCTCAAAATCGTTTGCAATGGCGCAGGTGCATCCACTCTCTGTGTTCTCTCAAATTCTAATCTTCTGAATTCTTCATGTCCCTTTTTTCCTCTTTCCAAATTTATTTCACTGGATTATACTCTATAAATAACATCTCCAAACCCTAATCTTCCCGATTACTGCTTATACTCTTGCTACCTCTACCACTATGGGATTTGAAAGGACAACTGCATCTCTGTGCTAATGTGGTGTGGCAACTCGAACTGATGTACGTACGTACGAAGTTCTACGTTGATACTGACTGACTGACTGATTTATATTAAGTTATTGAAACAACCATTTACTAAGTGACCATTCCGAGATCACTAAAAACGGAGTTAATTAAGCAAACTCCATAACAATTCACTTTTCAATGAATAAAAATATTAAATCTTGATCAACTCAATTCAAGATACATCAATATATTCTCAAGTTAGTGAAGAAATCTAATTTGAAATAGAATTACTGTTTATTCTTTATAAACAAACTTTTCAATAAAAAAAGTCTCATAAAGTTAACACCTCAATTTTCAAGTGAATTAAATTTGAATAGATTCTAATCACGGTACATAACTTGATCTCAATCATGTAAAGTTGTCTGGTGAACCTGTACAATGGAAGTACTTAACTTTTCAAAATAATAATAAAGGAGTGAAACTTTAACAAGTACCAAAGTGCTCTCAAGTTTTCAATGGTAGTCTGGATAAAATCAATTCGTGATCTAAATTGTGAAAGTTCTACAGTCTTCACAAATCTCGATATTAATAAAAATCACACGCTTACTAATGATAAGCTTCAATAGGAAATTTCCGGAGTTCTGTTAAAAAGCCGTAACCAGTAGAACTAAACCGTGTCTGGGGTAAGCTAGTTTCCTACCAATGACAATGGAAGATGACCGTGACATATCGCAGATTGATTGGACTTAAACTTTAAGCGTTCGCAAGCGAGACCGAGGTTCACGGGTGCGAATTTGTGAATGCACACTGCTGAAGATTTCCATACTAATGCTAAACAAGCTTTCATTACTTCTAGGTTCTCAATGGTACTTTAGTTAAGATCAGTTCATGATTTAGATTTAAAAAATTAAAGTGTTTCAATAAAGAATTACTTTTTAAACATACCTTTTTACTATCAGTGTCTAAAAGTATATCTGTAAAAATTAAGTGAGAGTTTCCAAGTTTTGGTGATAAAAATTTTTGATAGTTATATGATGCTAATCCTAAACAAAATGAAAGAATATATATATTAGATTTATTTAAATAGATATTCATAGCTGTTCATATACTACCTTTGAAATCTGTTACTATAAAAGTGGAATATATGGTATAACCCTATAGATGTTTATTAGGGTTTTGATTGAGATGATAAACCGATTGATTTTAGATCACCACTGAAAACCCAGAAGTACTAGATGGCCATTTCGTTCTATTGTGGGACTCTTCAGCAGTGAGCATTCACGATCCCGCCAGCAGGATTCGAACCCAGGGTTTTCGGTCTTCCACGCACTGAGCCGGTATCCAACGGTGTTAATGTCTAACCCCAACCAATCCACGAAATTGCTCTACCGTTCATCATTGTCTCAGTGGTCTGATGTTTAGGCGTGAAACTGATAGATGCTGGGTTCGAATCTCGCGAGGCGGGATCATGGATGAGCTCTGTCGAGGACTTTCACACTAGGACGAAACGGCCATCCAGTGCTTCCAGGTTTCCCATGGTAGTCTGGCTTCAGCTGACTCATGATTTCAACTATTGAGATTATTATATACTTGAAATAACATCAATATTTACGTTGATAAATCAGTGAAACTATGATAAAAATTTTATTTTATAAAAATGATTTACCTTAAATTCTGTTAACTTACCTGGTAATGAAAGAAAGCTTAAACGAACACTGCTTGGTAGAGGTTGATAAGCTTCAAGAGCTTTTTCATTATTCTTATCAAAACAAAAAGTAACAAATGAAAAACATTCTTTTTAAAATCTGTTCAGCAAAAAAGTACTAAGTGTAATTCTCGCATTCTAAATGTTCATTCACTTCTATTATATCGGAACAATATAATCAATTGGATGAAAACCTCTCACAAAAAACAACCAGTTAATTGGAGTTAGATTTGAAATCGACTTTTACCTGTCAATAGGTATTTATAATCCAAAGCTTAGTGTATTCCTAATGAATAAATTAAATCGGCAACTGAAAGACACGGTGAACTGTTTCACTGAACGACGCCCGATGTGGGGTTCGGACCTACGACCCAGAGTAAGAGTCTCATGCTCTACCGACTGGGTTGGCCCTCACGTTTTCAAGCTTGTGATTTGTTGCATGGTAAGAATAAATTATAGCGTTTGTGAAAGAGTTTTATCATTCAGTCACTTGATACATATATTTTATTGTTCTAAGCGTTCAAATTTGTCTCGTCCAATTTATTTCAAAATGAAAAGAAAGAATGAATGTAATTCTGAATTACGGTTAGATTTAAATAAGTAATCTGATAAATTACACGTTCAACTCTACATTTCAGTCAGTCAACTTGATACGAATTTACAGTGATCGAAAGTGTCTTACATCAAGTAAACGCATAAATTTAAGGAAGAAACTAACTAGATGAAATCCAATCATACTATAGTACTAGGAATAATAATATTAGTGTGAAAAACGATTGATAACTAAGAATATTACTGAAATAGATGAATAAGAATGATCTACATTTCTTGATTCACTGGTTTATAATGTTAGTTAGATTTTAATCAGATTATGACTGTTAAGTTTTTATTCTCAAGTACATTTCAACTCAAAAACAAACTCAAATCAAGTCTCATTGACTTATTCCCAAGTTACTCTCTGGTTGAATAATTGCTTGGTTATAAAAAAGAATATATTCATTAGTAGTCAAATGATTTTAGACAAACATTTCATCAAAGAACTAAGTTGATGAAAATTCTACTTTGCTAATTCAATCAAACATAAAACATGGGACGTAGTACAGAAGCGCATCGGTTTAAATTACCACATTGTACATCAAAGCAGCAAGATGGAATTATCTAGTTGAATACCAAATCAACAGAAGTACTAGTAGTAATAGTGATGGTAAAAAACGTTAATGTTGGCGAATATAATTCTCAAAGATACCATGTATCCGACGTATAAATTAACCTTGAAACTCATGATCGTAAGTAAGATAAAGTATAAATACATCTGTGTTACTGAAACAGATTCTTAGTCGTGTCATTCAACATTTGCACCTTCAAGTTATTATAATCCAAAGACTTCAAACACGTAGATTTTATCAAACAACATGGTTCAAAGCAACAGTCAATGAATAATCAGATTGGTACTACGTTTTGGTTTAATTATCTTCAGCTTTTTTCTAGCTTCGTTAATGGATGACTACAAGACAACAAAGTCTTGTAAAAGAGTTTAACTGATACCAGTAAATCAATCCATAACAATGTTTATGAATCCGTAAACGAAGAACTATATCTGACTATTTCATAGACTTTTCTATATAGCAATACGGAAAAAAAGGAGAAATATTGAATTTCTTTAAAATATTACTTACTTTTATATACCATCCTGCAAAATCTTGATCGTCTTTGAAGGACCTACAAAATCAAATTACGGTTAAATTTTCTTGCCGGAACTTACCGTTTATCTGTATCTACAAAAGGGGTCGACGTAAGACTTTTACTAGAATGCATCAATTTACTACTCTGCGTTATACCAACTTTTCCTTCTTCAATAATCTCAACATTATTTTCTTCAACGTTATTGTCTTCATCTTCACTTTCTTCTTCCTCAATCTCAAAGTTTTCACTCGTCTCATCGCCTTCACCTTCTTTCTCATCATTTTCCCATGTTTGTTCACTATACTCTACACTATCTTCAGTATAATCAGGGATCTGATTCACAACAGTATTTGTTTTCTTAATTTCATTAGATTTAACTTCAGTGTTTTCCTTATTTACTGTAGTTTTATAAATTAAAAAAATGAAATCGACTTGAATCACCTTCTTGTGAACTAACCGCATTCGTCTGTTTTTCCTCTTCCTCCAACAACTCGTCAGCGTCTTCATCATCATCACCATCTTCACTGTATGTTTGTGGACTATCTTCTACTTGAATATTGTCATTATTCACAATATTTTTTTGTTTTATATAATCCTTTTATTAGAGAAAATATTTAGTCAATAAACGTTTTGTATACCAGTTTTAAATTTTCCCATTCCGATTCAACCATTACTATTTTCTATAAACAAATCGGAATAAACAAATCGTAGTACAATCATACCTTCAAAAAATTCATTGGAACTAAACCTTGTTTACCTTGAATATTTTCACCAAGCCACCAACCATCATCACTATAAATAAAGAAAAAAAATAGCTTTGAACTTTGAAAATGATTATGAATATTTGGGTACTGATTTTAATTAATTATTTAATATCAGAAGAGTTTTTGTGGATATTATAGTGATTTCAATGATTGAGACCATGAGTCGATTGAAGCTAGACCACCATGAAAAATCTGGAAGTACTGGACGGCCGTTTCGTCCTATTGTAGGACTCCTCAACAGTGCATATCCACGATCCCGCCTCGCGAGATTCCAACCCAGCACCTATCAGTCTCGCATGCGAACGCTTATTCACTAGACCACTGAGTCGGTCAGCATCCAATGGTGTCAACGATGTCTGACTTAAACTAATCCACAAAATTGAGTGACACATCCACTATTGTCTTCGGTGAGCTGATTTCTCACAACAGACCTGGTTGAACTGCACTGGTCAGTGCCTCTCACTAGAACTCCAGGAAATACTTGCTGAAGCCTGTCATAAGTGAGCATATGTTGACTAGTTTCAGAAGAGGTTTTGTTGATATTATAGTCATTTTAATGGCTGAGATCATGAGATATAAATTAAAATTATCTCATCCTTATACAACACTTATTCACTTGATAATTTTAAATTCCACTGAGAAAATATCATAATTCAAAAGATTACTGAATAATGGTTATGGTCTTGTAATACTAAATAAAATCTATAACTCAATGGTCTACATATTATGTATTAATGACTAGAAGTCTTGAGATCAATTCCTGCTTGTGGGGTCGTCCATGCGCTTTGTTGTAGATTCTTATACTAAGAAGAAATGACCTTCTAGTACTTCCAGGTTTTCAATGGTAGTCTAACATTGATCAGTTCATGATCTTCTTAAAAACTCTATTCAATCTTTCCATTGATTGATATGAAACATAGTGAAATTAATTTTCTACTAAACAATACAAAAAGATGCTTAGATTAATTCTTGTTAATAATTGTTTTATTCAATATTTTGTTTAGTATAATATTGTTATTTTAACATGAAATATTTCGAAAGGTTCCGCTTATTCTTCAATTCCATCGCTATATATAAATGGATAGAAAGATGGGTAGACAGAAACATGCTTTAAAAGTGGAAAGTATTGGATTAGACCAGTCTTTACAATTATTCCAAAGCATAGTATATGTGCTTGATTTATGCGCTCGAGTCTTGTTTCGCCAAATGATATAAAAAAAAGAAAGATTTGAATAAATTTAGTGGTTCTTTTTACTTGATAGAAAAACAAAGATTGCTATCCCTTTTTTAGTCTATGAATTACGTTACTGAATGTAAACTGCACAATGCAAGTGCAACTTAGTAGTAATTCCTTCAAACAAACTTCCGGTACTATGGTTTTAATCTCATTATTATTTATATATTTTCAGATAAAATTGATGGTCCCTGTAAGTACAACATTAGTGATTCGACATCCAGAGATAAGATAATTTCGTCATTTACATACGTTTCTTTTATGTGTTCAATGAATTAAAAATTATCCTGTACAGAGTGTCAACAAATGCGTTTTCTTATGGGATCTAAGAGAACTGCCAGCCACTTTGCTATAGACTGGTAAGTGGATCTGGAAATATCAATAATTGATTGGAAAATATTGATGTCGAACTACTATTCACTAATGTTCCACTCATATAGACCATCAGTTTTATTTGCATATACATAAAGAAAAACATTTATCATCTATTTTCCAAATTCCAAATATCTATACATAATCACATAAATAACAGCATCAGAAAACTTACTACTTACTCTAATAAAAGCCTTCAATATTCTACACAAAACAATATGATCTTTTTACGAAAGTCCGAAAAAAAATTATGAGGAACAGTATAGAACGGGAACGAAAATCAGTCAGCAACAACGTAGAACTTTGTACGTACGTACATCAGTTCACGTTGTCATACCACATTGTCACACAGATACAATTGTCCATTCAAATCACATAGTGGTAGGAATAGTAAAAGTATAGGCAGTAATCGGAAAGATTACGGTTTGAAGATGTTATTCAAGGAGTATAATCCAGTGAAATAAATTTGGAAAAAGAAAAACAAAGCCATATGACTTCAGAAGATACAATAAACACATCATCATTACAAGTAAGCCTTACTCTTTTTCTAAAATTTTCAAAGTTTCACCAGATATAAATGATAAATCATCTTCATCATCACCAATCCATTGACGTATGGTTTGATAAAACTAATCAATAAAATTGATAAACTATATATAGAAATGAACAGATATCTACCAAATCAATATTTTCACATTTTCTTGATTCTACCGGTTCTGAAATGATATCTACCGGTGAATTTTTTAAAATCTAAAAAAACACGAAAAAAATTTGTAGAAATGAATAGAATTGCCTTGGTTACAAAATATTATTTCATTAATACCTCATTATGAACTTGTAAAACATTTTGTGAAGTGATTTGTTTTATTATTTCATTTTTCTCTTCTTTTTTTTCTTTTTTCATATTTGTTTTCTCTGTTTGAAATGGTTGAACTTGATTGATGTTATCTTCTATTTCTGTTGCTTCATTTTCTAATTCTGTTTCTTTTATGTCGTCTGTTTCTATTTCAGATAGTTCAGTAAGTTTTTGATTATCTTGTAATTTTAAAGTTGTTTTTATATTTGAAGGTAAGTTATCGTCATCATCGCCGTCATCGTTATCATCATCATCAACATCATGATCATCACCATCATCATTTAATTTATTAGTTTTATCTAAAGTGTAATAATTGTTTTGTTTAAAATGTTATAACTAAATAAATAAATAATTTAATTATAGTTCATAATGATTTCAATGGTTTTATTTATTTATTTGAACACGTAAATACTAGTACAAAGAGGCACCGAATATATATATGCCACACAAGTCACTTGATTTGTGTGTGAGCTGTGATACTGCTCGCGTGCCCAAACCGAAACAGGTGGTTTTCTTAGGCAGCCACACTCGGAGCCTTCAATCTAAAGGCCTGATCCGCAAGGCAATGGAGCAACGTCAGGTTATGAAGTCCCATGGTAGTCGGTGACCAATAATTGGATCATACTCCATTTGTTCCTTCAGGATCCTGGAGGCCATGTGTATCATTGGTTTGAAATCAGGGAGGGAGAGCTGATTCTCCCTACCCTCGGATATACCATGGCATTTGGGGTGATTTATCAGCTACTTAGGAAATCTTAATTAGTTGTAAAAGAATTGACAGTAAAAAAATAATGAAATAACAGTGAAATGATAGCTTTGATTAGAATTATTAATCCTCCTAAGTTGAAATATCATTGGTAGTAAAGAAAAAGGTCAATTTAACATTTATACATATATTCTAGGAGTCAAGCTAGTGTTGGTAGCTAAGGTTATATTAATCGGTAGTTTTTGTCAACACATAAGAAATTTAAAGTTAGGTATTTGAAGTTAAATTGAAGTTTTGTGTTAGAATGATAAATTAAGGTCAGGGGGTTTTCAATACGAACTAGCATCAGCTGCCACACAATGCTTCTTCATCTTTCTTTTTAGAAACTTAAAAACCTTAGGGTTGAAATTTAGAGTAAGAAATGGAGAAGACTATTTAGCTTCATTAAACATTCCTGATTACACAATGAATTACAATAAGTACTTCAACACACAATCTGCTTTAGGAGCTAGTATGCATTGTAATTTAGCTTAGGGGCAACATTTTGCTTGCATAACAGATATTTTTATTGATTTTAAGCATTTTAAGAACCAAATATTGCAAATTTTCACTTCGTTAATAATAACATACATGTTGCCTATCACTGCACTTAGAATTTTATATAAAATACATGAGGCATCATCCTAATTCTGATTGTTTAACCTAAGACCGTCAGCATAATATACTTCTACCACTCCAAATATAACTTCAGTTGAACAAAGAAATAAATATAATAGTGAATAGAATGATAATAATGAACTTATGGCAAGATTAAGTATGAAAACGAGCTTCAAACAACATTAACGAACTTATGGCAAGTTCTTAACTAATCAGAGAAAAGCTTGTGAACAATGGACAGTTTATGAAAAGGAAAGCAATAATAATACGAGATGTAAATAGATTTAAGTCTTCCATAAGTTAGTCTGCATGTAAATTGAAAAAGGAATGATATGTAAGTTTGAAAATGCGAGTATAGATTGCCAGATCTTTTTGAATGTTTATAAAGATCCAAGTAAATTTATTAGTTGAATTTATGAGTCATTTAAAGTTAGACTACCATGAAAAACCTGGAAGCACTGGGTTCTAATTCTGAGAGCGGATCGCACTGCTGAGAAGTCCCATACCAGGACGAGACGGTTTTCCAGTGCTTCCAGACCTACCATAAGGCTCTTCAGCTGTGTATGTTCAAGGAGTCGATACCTAGGATCGAACAAAATACCTTCTGATTCACGCACAAACACTTAATTTCTTGACGACCTGAGAACGTATCGATTGGTATACAAATCTAACCCCAGTTAATCTGCGATATTGCGTGACCGTCCTCTACTGTCTTCGGTGAGTACCCTCCTTGCAACCAAAACAGTTGAACTCACCCGGTTACGATTCCTTACTAAGATTCCGGAACTTTTCCCTCACCCCTTGAAGCTAGTCATTATTTAGCACATATATATAAATCATAAATGTAATAGTTCAATTACTTCCACATAAAGGATAAAATTATGTTAAACCTTTACAATGGAGCTAACGTGAACGAAGAAATATAATTAGCGCAAATGAATTATTATAATCATTAATACTAGAATTACTTTTATTCTTATCTTTCAACTTTTTTCCTGATTTCTTTTTTTTCTTTGTAGATATTTCATTTTCATCTTCAGATGTTTTCAATTTTTTACCTTAATATTAAGTATTAATTTCTATCACTTATATCATATACACTTACTGGATGTCTTTAATCGTTTTGAAGATTTTACCTTTTTCAATATTTTATCTGGATCCAAGTTATGCTTATCATCATTATTGTGTATTTCATCATGATTATCAGTAGCATGTATTTGTGCAATAACTGTAGTAGTAGGAGTAGGAGTTTTATCTTTAGATTCTTTCACATTTCTCTCTTTGGAGATTTTAAGTTTGATTGACTTTGAATCATTCTTTGTTTTTCTATGTTTATTCTTTTTATTAACTTGTTCCTCTTTTTCTCCTTCCTCCTCCTCTTCTTCTTCGTCTTGTACATTTAATTTTGTACTTTTTTTATGAATGGTAGTTGACATTTTGGACTCTGACGATGAAACAAAGAAAGCATTTCCTTATGATAATCAAATTGAAAAAATAACACATTGTCACGTATGCAAACCACAACGTGTAGAATGTAGTCAACTGGATGAAAGCTATTCGGTTAAGTCAGCCAAACAAGGGTAGACACATAGCACCATTGAAATTTATATACTAGATAATCGTGTTTTAAATCACCGATTATATGTTATTATCTGGCTTACATTGCATACCAAATTTATCCTATCAACTTGTGGTAAAGCTAACTAGACTGAATAACTCTTGATTGGGATGAATACATCGTTCTAGTATCTGGTTGTTGAAGATGACTGGAAGAGATCTCTAAGCCTCTTGCTTTCATGCAAAATGATACTTGTTGACAACGTGTATTGATGATATTTCAGGTGCTACTTCTCTGTATGGAACTCAAACCAATATCAGCTCGTATCATAGTGAAGAATAACATTACTGAACTATTTGAATTGTGAATCACTTATTAAAATTCTACGCACTATTTGATAGGTCAATAGTATCAAATCCCACGTTTTTTCTAATCCTCATTGATGATCAAATTTGATCGGTCAAATTGAATGGCACTTTCATCAAGGCTGAAGAGAATCTAAAGAGTGGCAATTAGTATAAAACCTAGGATTAAAGCTTTTTATTGATTGCTTAAATGCATATTAAAAATTTCTCAGGGTCATTTACACAGCCTGTTGCACCGGCAAGGCATAGTTCTTACCAATGTACATAGAACAGTATTATAAAATCCCCATAAACCATCCAGTCATTATAAATAATGTTATGTTTACTCATTACGCATATAATTTCCGCATGGCTAATCTCTTACTCAGACTGTTATGGTGTAGCCCAAAGATTTGTACAAGTTGGCAAAATAATTCCAACTTTCAGTTGTCCGTTAAACTTACTAACCATCGTTTGCACTTTAATTTTTTGTACAACTTTTTCCACTGATAAATTTAAACAAAGCAAGAACAGAAAATGTAGCAGAATAAGGTAAACTTATTTGTTTCGTGAATTCTCGTTAGCTGCTTACAACCTAGAAACTATAGTAATAGTTAGTTACGACAAATGTACATACTTAATATCATATTAATAAAGATTGGTTGAATAACAACAACAATCAAGGAAGAATTATAAAGCAGCAAGGTGGATGGATGGACAAACAGAAAAACCTCTTCATCGAAACAACACTTCGTATGAGATTTATTCATAGCCAAATAGTTTCTGTTAAATGAGGTGCAAAAAGACTCAATTCGCTTTACGAATTTGAATATAGCAAAAACAACAAATTAGATAGAATAATATGGATTTATTATATTTCGTTGTCTCTCATCAGCTACCTTCAACCATGGCCGCTCACCAGCACTCTCCATCCAACCCTTTTCTGGGCGATCCTTTATAGTTTTTCCTAGTTGCTATTTATTCTTTTCGTGCTGCTTCCCATTTCGGGAACAATCTGTTCTTTCGTCTTGCACTTTTTCGTTTTCCTCCAGCATTTCAAGTTAGCACTTGTCTAGTGGTACAGTCTGGTGATTTTCTCAGTGTGTGTCCTATCCACTTCCAAGGTCTTTTTCTAATTCCCTCCTCAGCTGAAAGCTGACTTGTCCTGTCACACAGTAGGCCGTTGCTGATGGTATTCGATCAGCGAACGTTGAGTATCTTACCCAGACAATTTTTTATAAATACTTGCACCTTCTTGATGATGGTTGTAGTAGTTCTCCAAGTTTCAGCCCCGTACAGTAGAACTGTCTTGATGTTCGTATTGATGATTCTGACTTTCATATTGGTTGACAGTTGTTTCTAGTTCTATATGTTCTTCAACTGTAGAAATGTTGTCCTCGGTTTGCCAATCCTCGCCTTTACGTCTGCATCTGATCCTCCTAGTTCATCGATGGTGCTTCCCAGGTACATAAAAGACTCTACATCTTCCAGAGCTTCTCCATCAAGTGTGATTAGGTTGGTGTTCTCCATGTTGTATTTGAAGATCTTGCTTTTTCCTTTTGCGTATGTTGGGGCTTGCTCATGCAGAGGCTGCTGTTACACTGTTTGTCTTGACCTGCATTCGTTGATGTGTATGGCATAGAAGGACCAAATCATCTGCGAAGTACAAATTTTTCCGAGCAGTCCAGTCCCTTCAGATGTGGTCTCTATAATCCAGCCAACCTCAGGAAGAAAGAAAAAGGTGGAGAGTAGGCAGTCTTGTCTGTCTCCAGTCCTTACTTGGAATGCGTCTGTCAGCTGTCCTCCAAATGGTTATATATATATATATATATATATATATATATATATAAGGATAGGTGAGAGGTCATTTGGAGACGGAGACCACGAAATACAATGAATTCACATTATTCTGCTCCAATTGTTGTTTTGGCTTTATTCAAATAGGCATTGTTTAAAATATTACCACATTATGTACTGAATCTATGTTCAGAAAAGATTGAAGAATTAAATATAATTTAAGTGTCTGCGAGATAGCGAATACCCACAACAGTTTACCAATAAGTATGAAGAGAATAAGAAATAAGGGTATCAAAGCTACTGCAGTTAAAAAAAGACAGTTATTACGAGAATTAGCTTCGGAGGTGATGAAATAGCTAACATAATTAATTCTAGGCTAAACGGTGCACTGTAGAGTATATATTGAGCTTTTAAACTACTTTCGTCAAATCAGACAAATTGCTCATTAAGACAGACAAATGTGTACAGATTCCCATATCACATTACCGCCAATCGTATTTATCAAGTTACGTGTTCATGCCAAAGTACTTACATTTGAAGAAAATGAAGGTGGGTTTTTATTCCCATCTTGGATAGTATTGCAAAAACATTGAGATTTAAAGGCCAACATACTTTCAATAGTGTCATTGCCTGTTATCTACTTGGTAGTGAACATAATTTCAATATTTTAAGTTTATTATAAACAAACCATTCTGAAACTTTGAATAGATTATATTACACCAAATTCATAGGAATTAAAATACTGAAACGAAATCCATGCATTAAAAAGGAGACAACTGTAAATTTCTCACTATTCAGATAGCTTCTATGTTTCATCATTCAACTAATATAATATCCTACTTCATATTTAAAATAATAAAATCCTTCATTATTTCTAGATTCTTTTTAGCTTTACTCTGTTATCCTGTCAGATTTTACGATTGTTATTACGTAACTTCAACATTGATACCTATTCTGTCAAAATATCATCATTATAAGTTTTAAAGATTTTTTTCTTTTAGAATTTCTACATTCACTAACATAGAAATATTCATCTACTTTACTATTTGATAAATTCTTCCATGATTATTGTTGTTATTCCACCAATCTTCATTAATATGATATGAAGTATGTATATATGTTGTAAACAACTAATGCTATTCACTTGGTATTGTTTGGTTTGTATCTTCCCATTGAGGTTTAAGCCTGCGATTGATCAGTCTGTTATTGGTATATGTGTATACTGTGCGTATGCCTCGATATTGCCTTAATTCACAAGCTTTTTGTAAGTAGTGATGGACTCAGTAGCTGAGGGGATAATGCGATGGCGTTTGAAGTGAATGGTACTGGGTTCGAGTTCCAGAGGGAACATCAACTCATGCAGGTATATCCAGCTGACAAGTCCCAGATAGAACAAAACGCGTGTCCTGGATTCCACTGCTGGTCACCATCCATCATTGCTTACAACTATTACTATTGTTTCTAAGTTGCAAGCAACCGACGAGAATCCACGAAACAAATAAGTTTACATTATCCTGCTACATTTGTTACTCATACTTTATTGAAATAGATTTAACTAATTAGAATAATAAATAGTTATCGACGGGCAAAATTTAAAACGGTCATATATATGATAGTTGTTACAAAAGATCCCGCTCGCGGGATCACGGATGCGCACTGCTGAGGAGTCCCAAAATAGGACGAAACGGCCTTCCAGTGCTTCCAGGTTTTCAGTTGTGATGGTCTAACATCAATCGGTTCATGATCTCAATCAAAAATCTACATCAAGTTAGATTATAAAAACAATCATATTTTTATTAGTTGAAACGTTCATAAACACTAACTATTCATAGAATAAACATGATTTCATTGAATAAATTTTGTTCATATATGGTGTTTTGTTATTTATAGTGATATTGTTGTATAAAATTGATTTCAATAGAGATCAGTCTCACTGACTGCATTCACAAGACTCAAGCGAATAAGGAAAAATACAATTTACATATATACATGACGAACCAAATGATAAATTATAGATTCACATGGAATATACGCCATTTATGTTTAATTGTAAAGTATCAAGAAGGATAAAATACGTGTTATTAATACTACTAATATCACCAAATCACCAAATTAAATTTAGGTCATATAATATTAGTCCCTGTGTATTTTATAAACTGAATAAGTATAAATTATTGAAGGTACTGAATATGGTGTATGTTTGTTTACTATCAATCCAATCTTTCCTAGAGAGAATACTATATTAGGGTGGGAATTTTCGTGAAGAATGTTCAACTAGAGGATAACTTACATTCCATTATCAAATTCAGTTGTTTAACTATTGAAAATAAAAAACAAACACTAAGCATCTAAGTGTGTCTATTTTGGGACTAATTAATAATGTGCTGCATCCACATTCCGACGAAGGATCGAATTCAAAACCTTGGAATCTTACGGTGATAATGGTACCTCTAAAGCACTAAGTCATAAATCAGTACTTTTCATTTCTGATTTTATCCAAGTTTCGATATTGTGTGATCATCATATCATATCATCTGTAGTATATATGTATCACTTATAATACAACTGAACTTCACTGATGACTTCTTCAAACTAGAACTTCACAAAATCTTTTCAGATGTTGTTACTAGTGAGCAGTTTTAAACTGGTGTAAATTTCTCTCAAAGCAAGAAATTTTACGTACCTCAATTCCAATACAAAATGTTCTTTCTATCTATTTAGTTAAAATTTCGGGTTTGATTTTGTTGATTAATGGCTTTAATGTACTTCAAGTTCAAAATTAAAAATTTTAAAGAATTCAAACGTTTCAACAAATACTACTAATAGACTAAACAATTATAATATAACAAGTTATCTTATATAGTAACTATATATCATTACCTGGATCCTGAGATTTCGCTTCCTGATCTGAAATATTCTCATTCCCTGACAATAAACTAACATTACTACAAATTAATCAATAATAACAATAATTCATTATGAATAATCATTTACATTGTCCCTAATTTTTTGTCTAATTTGTTCAATTTATCCTACAAATGATATGGTTATTGTATATGTATGAATAATTATGAATAATTATATATTACTGTTAAAGTAGATATTCTTGTCAAAAGTTGATTCTTCATTGATTCCAATTTCGGTAGTTGATTTTCTGGATTTTTGTCCTATTAAATATATATATATATATATAGTTTATTTTCACCGTTACCTGTTTAATTTGTTTTATTGTATCAGCATATTTATTTAATTCCTCCAAGAACTGTACTGCTCTTTTTTAAAAAAGAAACGGTGATTGATCATTGGCAATTAAAATATAAAGCATACTTTGTATTGAAATTCTCTTGTTGTTCACTTGTCGGTTTTTTATGACTATTAACAAAGTTAATAAACCGTTTGATCTTTATAAAGATGAATGATTTATGATTATAAGAAAATATAAATACTTGTGATGAATTTTGATCTAATTTTTCAGTTATTAAATCAATTTGTTTCTTAGCTTCTGTCATTTCTAGGAATTATTTAAAAAATTCCATTAAAACAGTTCATTTAAATATAATGAATAGATTTACCGAATGTCTATGTTATAAACGAAACATTTCGTTGCTTGAATTCACTTGATGTTGTTTTACTTGAATCTTCCCTTTGTTATTTAGGACTGCAACTGATCACTCTCATGTTGGCATACGTGCATTCCGTGAGGATTGCCTTGATGTTGCCTTAAGTCACAAGATTTTTTAAGCGAAGATGGATAGTAGCTAGCAGTGGAATCCAGGACGTGCGTTTCGCCCCAATTGGGACTCGCCAGCTGGATGTGCTTGCATCCCAGAGTTGATGTTCACCCCAGAATTCAAATCCATTACCGTTCGCCTCAAACGCCATCGCGTTATCCACTTAGCTACCGAGTCCTGATAGCCACCTGCGTGTGCAATGGGGTGAAGTTTACTCGGTTGAAAATTTATTATGGTAATTACCTAAGAAATGTTATTATTCATTCAGTCACTCAGTTGTTAAAATCAAAGTACGGTTCGAAATAACTGTATATTAGTTCTAGTTTCCTCACTTTATATCGACACAAGAACAAATCTAACAAAAGTTAGATGGTAGGGGACAAAATAATTATATTCACACTATTGTTTCTTAAATCACATGCAATGTAATTAAAGATAAATAAATGAAACAAAGCTTAAAGTTTAGAGAATGTCTCTGACTTTGAACCAGATCACCAAACATATCTAACTATAGACTACTATGATTTCTCTGATCATCATTTACTTCAATGTACTAATAACAGATGAAATAAGCATTTATTCGGCAATAAAATTCAAACCCCATTCAGTCTTATAGCTTTACTCAAGGTTAGCCGTTGAGACATGCTTTGAGAGACAGATAATTGGAGATTGATGACTACAGGAAAACAGATAAGTCATATGGGTGCCCTGATAAAGAAAAGACAGTTCATATAGCTATTCAACATCTTTTTGCATTTAGTCACATACTTCGAATGTTATAAAGCTTACATGGGCAAAACACACAACCTATATTACTAAATAATTTTATTAAATATGGACTGCCAGTTTATACTATCCTATCATATTTGCCAGAGAGTAAGATTATAACAATAGCTTCCTCAATCTATCTTTCTTCTTAATAACATATGAAAATATGCGAAATGTATGACGAACGAATTAAAATTTCTTACGCTTAGGCGAAGGATAAAGAGCTTTTCGTGCTCTATCGCAGCAATTTATATGACTACACAATAAATTTTATGGATTAGACTTAGCTTTTCACAAAATACCTGGTTACTTTATAATAACACCATAATTGTCATACTAATTACAAAGTGATAAATCCGATACTTCCCACAATTCTGTAGTAAAGCCTTAAATTTGTGGCAGTGAATTGTCGCTTTTTAGTTGAAGTCCAGTATTCTCACTTCTTTTCAGCATCAAACTAAGAAATTCGCTATCACTAAGGATGTGCAAAAGAAATGACTTCGTGTAGTAGCTAATGCATGAATTCTGAACTATAATTATTGGACGCATTTTGAATACGTCAGTGACGCTGAATTACTGAACGAGGTCAGTGTAACTGACGGCTCGTCCACTGTAAAATGCAAAGCGCTACATTACACTGGTAAGTACCAACAACAGTCGTTAAATTAACGGTAAACGGTTTTGATGCTGCTAAGGACTTCGTGTCTTCATTCAGCGGTGTCACTGGTGCAAATACATCAGGAAACATGGATGAAAATACGGTGCCGTTCAGTATTGTGAAACGTAGAAGACAAGCACATTAGGCCTATGCATAACTAGTAGGGAAACAATGAAATAAAGAATACAACTACTTTTACCAATTTGCATGATTTGTATGTGCCTGAAATGCAGGCTGGATGCAGCAACGTCAAGTATTCTAAGTTTCAGTTAACGGAAACGCCTTTTTCTCCATTAGTTAAGTAAGCGCTTTTTCATTATATATATACAAGTTCAACTAGTATAAAGTACAAAAACCGACCTCTGCATCAACACTCACATAGAGTCAAAAACCAGAGTAAGTCATGTTAGCAGTCACCTAAACTTTGATGGCTTGTCAAAAATATATGTTACATTAAAAAAGCTTGTTGCAACTATGTCCGACCTGTATGCTGACCCTAAACGGCTAATGACGGTCTTTAACAACATTACATTTCAACCAACGCTAAACGGTGCCTTCAACCTGTCAGAGTCTCGTTAGGAAGAGTTAGATACCCTGGAGGCATGTCTTCTACAAGGGGATATCAGGGATAGATCTATAAGATCTGTTTATTAGATGATTGATTGACATTTCCATGACAAAAGTGGGCAACTTAATTGATCGCAACTCAAAAAAATCTTAAAGATATGTTTTGGCATACATTTTTAGCCCATAGTTATCCATTAACTTTTGTGGAAACAGTGAATAAAAGAGGTCTCAAAAAACTTCGATTCTCTAAAGGCATAGGAAGTATTAATGCACTGCTTCATTCAGTCCATCTCAGATGCTCTAACACCAAAATTTACAGACGCACCGTCAAATGAAAAAGACTTGAGAAAACTTCTAGACAGCATAATACAAAGCTTCATACTTGATATGAGGGACAAACCGAATAGGGGTTATAAAAGAAGAAAGAACAGAGTGATAATGTCGACTTACAACTTTTACTTTATTGTGTTTGTACCCAACGCGTTATTTTATGCAATATCACTTTAAACGTGGTCTCATTTTATAATCTATGACAACTAGGAAATCGAGATTAAACGTTTCCATAACTGTTTGTTTATTATCACTGTCAATGAAATTTTGATGTTCATGTAATTTCACTTAAATAATAATGACCGAAATAAATTTGATGCTGTGAACAAATTACCATTCTCACTAACGTCCGTTTTGTTGTGGGGAAAAGTTAAATTCTGAAGTATTTAAGGTAGATTTGGAGTACATAAATCGTAGCTGCATAAGATATTTTAAGTTTAAGTGAAGCTACAACGAAAAATGACAATTACCTAATAACCCGATTTTAGGGGAACTTCTATTCATTTTGAGTCAATTTTAGGAAAGCAGGAATTAAAAACGTTAAAGAAGTGGCACAAAACTTCAAAGTGTTCCCAGAACTGAGGGAAATCACCAAAGTGTTATGAGATTCTGGAGAAATATTGGAGAAAAACAAAAATATTTTGCAGAGAACTTCTAAGGTTTTTGTGCCTCTTCCAAAAACTCTCCCAAACACGGAGGAAATTTTTCTCAAAAGTGGGAGATATCTCCTATATTGTCCAATTTGCAATATTAATATTGGACAATTCCCAACTGGAAATAGGAGGACAATTTTCTAAGCGTTTGTTAATCCTGAAAATTTATTTGAACTGAAAAAAGTGTTAAACAAGCCTACAAACATATGAAAAGTGTTAAGAACTATTAACATTTAGTGATTACCACGTTACTGAGTGGGTCAATTAAAAATGTCGATGTTAACATGTTTTCCTTACTCTAGGTAACAACAAACCTTTGATGTAGTAAAACAAATACCTATTATTCCAAGATATGAGTGATTAATCTGAGAAGTTATACAGTCCTTACAATTTTTACATTTCAAATATACTTCTTTGTAAACCGTAGTAGGCTACTGTACTATTTAATATCAAATATCTTTGTAACGAACTTGCATAGATCGATTGATTACTGTCCGCTCGCATTGTGTTGTTTCAGTACAGTTTCAGATACTTAGTAATGTCCAACAAGTGACATTTTAGTCGCTCGACTACACTAATTCTGTTCAGTTTGGTGGTCAATTGTGAGTTTTCATATTCATATATCAAACACAGCTGGTCGAAGAGGAAGATGGTAATCCATGAGTGAGTTCGTCAAATTTCCTCTCAGCACTATTCACTGAGGGTATTGTGGCCACTTCATCTAGAGGAGCATTCTGAATGGGGGAAACTCTTAATGCAAAGAGTGAGAGCGAGTCTGGGTTTTAATTCTGTGTTTTGCAATTTTTCGGAGTTTTTCTCGAGGAGCATGGTGGTGGTGTTCGGGTGATTTGATGTACTTAATATTCTGTATGCCACTTTCAGATCACCACTTTTTCACATATAGTGTCTAACATCAACTTTGATTTCCATAAGAGACCCCTTTATGAGATTTCTTTCATTATTTTTATTCGGATAATAAACATCTAGTGACGATCAAGCTAAGACCACTAAGACTACTGAACAAACAGAATAAGAAAAGTTTAATGTACATACTTCACCGTTATATTAACAGCTTCAGAAGCTTCAAGAAGCTAGTTCCAAGTATTTTAACGTCTAACAAACATACGAAAGCATCATGGCGAAGAAATGATATGGGGTTAAAACGGTAATAACCCTAGTATTCTAGGACAATGAAGTTTTAAGAAACATATTGACGAATAAATGGTCTTTGTAGACAGTCTAGCGGAATTAAAGAAATGAACAAACAGCGGATGTGGGCGGGGGAAATTAAAAGCACAATCCGATTCTTCACAAGCGACCTTTTGAGTCAAGTAGAATATGTCAGAGATGTAGTAATGGTTGCCTGAAAGCATTCGAGAAAGAGAAGTGTGCAAGAACTATGTGGCCCAACAAAGCCAGAGGGAAACTATAGTGAATCAAAGTGACAAATCGGAAAAAGGGAAAACCAGAGCTGAGGAACAGGTTGATGGAGAACTTTGAATAGCTCTTTAACAGACCAACGTTATTAAACCTGCTAAATACTGGAGCGGCGAACAGACTAGCCCGCAGATTTCATTTTGTTAACAACCAAAGACATCATTAAAGCCATCAGACAAAGGTCGAGTAAAGAGTCAACGGAACCAGACGACACTCTGGCTGAAGTACTGAATTCCGATGCGGAAGCAACCGCATTCTTTTCATGTAAACGTCCGGTGTTAGCAGACTGGAAACGTGTAGTACATTTAAATACCGGAGAATGAAGTTAGTGACTGTGAAAACTATAGAGTGATTACCCTACTGTCAGTGTGAGGCATATCTTTCACTTTTTCTCTTCTTGCTAGTTACTGACTGGATAACAGCGGCTTCAGGAGAAGCGAGTAACATGGTGGACACCATAAATACAAAAAAATAGATTGAACGTTGCAGATAATTTGACATTTTATCTCATACACTGCAGCAAATGTAAGCAAAAACTACCAGTGTGGCATAGACTTATACGGCAGTAGGCTGTGACATTCAAAAGAGGAAATGTAAGATCCTTAAGAAGAACAAAGCCCGTATAAATGAAATCATTACTGATGACAAGGCTCCGGATGACATATACACCTACACGTACCCGGGCATATTCATTGAAAGACGAATAGGATCTACTGTATTTATCAAAATTTCTATAGTTATGAATTTTGGAACTCTAGAAAACTGTCGCTCGAGACTCAAGATAACTTCCAATACTGACGCCAAGACAGGCCTGACGAAAAGAAGCAGTGTATTTATAGACAGCTGTTTATCCAGAACACCTAATGCCCATTTGCTAGAGACTATCAGTACTAAAACCCATGATAAAGAACAAGCCATCCGACAGCCCACCAGACGAAAGAAAAGACACTAGAGTTGAGAGCTAAAATCCCTGAGGAATTTGTTGAACTCCTCACAAGGAAAGACAAAAATTACGATAATTATTGAAAACAGAAAACGGTGGGTCAAGTAAAACACTACGCGGAACTTGGAAGTTAGTTGATACAGATTAACAATAGACGTTGAATACCAGAGTGTTTACGCATAAAGCATCACAAATAAGGATGGAAAATGGTCTTCATCTTTAGTTGCGAGATGGGGAAATATATCTGTCATTATATGACGTACTGTCAACACGCGTGACGGAAAAAGTGAGGGTTTTTTGATTAGAAAAGATTTGGTGCCCGGTAGTATCTTAACAAGTCACATGAAAATGATCGTTATTAACAAGTGTTCGACGACGTCACACATGAACGGCATACACAGTTTTTCCTCAGTTTTACAACAATTAAACGGCAAAATGATGTATGATAGAAATGCTGACAAACGGAACTGTCTCACATTTGATGTAGGAAGTCACCTTCACTTTGCTGACGTGCTGTCCGTGCGCGCTCATATCCAGTTGTATCCGCAGAAGAAGTCTTACTAAAATGTCAGAAGTACAAACGATGATAACAGTAAGACTTCAATGAATGACTTACAAAGTCATATTCCATTCTTTGAATGCTTACTTAAATGGGTGAGATAAAGGGATGACTACTGAACGAGGCACACTTTCGTCTCAATTGTATTCGATCAACGACCTATGATAGAGCGCATTAACAGAGTTACACTAACTAGACAAGACACGTAACGAAAATTTCAAAGCGACCAGCTCCCACAAAACAGAACAACATACCCTAAACCTCAATCAGTTCACAAATTACAATCAAGTTCTGCAAAAGAGGAACGCCATACATATCGAAAAATAACTGCGTGCCTCTTTAACAATGCAGGGGGATTTATGAGCGAAATCGTAGAGGTCATATACATTGTTCCCATCTCAAGCTGAATATCATAGATATAATACAAGCTTGACTCCTTTCTAACGCCATTCAAGCAACATTAGGGAACAGCCACCTCGATGAAACCACATTTACCATGGTTATAAATGATATACTGTTGAGAGGCAGGAACATTCCTTGCCTTCACCACACAGGGTAAATTAAACAACAATAAGAAAGCAACTTCAACACTCCCATAGCCACAAGGGTAGTGGAAGCTGACACTAGATGATCGTTGGAAGATTGTGAGGGATATTATCCAAAAGCGATAACGCATGCCAAATCAAATGGGAAGTCAGGAGGACCAATAAACTAGCTATGCTCGGAATAAGTGAATTTCATTGAACCCTAGCTGGACAGAAAATACTGGCTACTAAGGCGATGCTATGAAGGAAAACGTGCTCTTCACATATGTGGAGTCACATTGATGCTGTCCAAAGGAACACTAATACCAGTAATAGGATGGATGTTCCATGGATCCAGGATCATCAAAGTGTCCCTCAAGACAAAGAAGTGGGGGATCACAATGAATTTTTTTTAGCATTATGTACCCACGAATGAAAATCAAGATGATGTTGATCGGTCGTATTAGGAGCTCCGTTCGATTGTATAGAAAAGGCCAGAAAAGGACCTAATTATCCTGATGAGACCCAAATGCCGAAGTCTGAATGGACAACAGCATATATGAAGATGTCATGGGATGATATGAACTGTGAAGAAAAAACGAGATTGGTGAGAGATTTGCAAGTTTATGTATCTCCACCAAATGGTTAAAGATGGAACTACATTCAGGCACAAACGCATGTACAGAGCTACAAGGGTCTTACCAAACTACAGAGAACGAGGTCAATTACATTTGTTAGGTTTTTCGTGCCTATTGGTAACCCTCGTGCTATTGATAGAAGAGACCAGACAATTAGTGAATAAGTCTTTAGTTAGATCTTCGCGCAGTCACAATGGAGCGTGGGATTATTTGTTCAGACAAACAAAGCCTCTCAATATTCAATATAAGACAATAGGAAATATAACGCCTATACAAAATAAGGAGGTGAATTAATACTTGAACTATACTGTTTTCGCACATGCTTGGTTGTTTGCTATCAACTCTTAACTAACTAACCTAAGCTGTTACAGGTTCACGGAAGGTGTGAGAACAAAACGGAAAACCCTAAATGCAGGCAGTTACTCCAAGTTTAGTTTGTTTTCGAAGGCTCGTGGAGTGGTTGTAAAAGCTTTTTGTTCTCAATGAAATCAAGAATAGTTAGAGTGCAAGGTCTAAATCAAACACAACTTTCATTTAACATTCGACATACGATAACAGAAAGTAAAGTTTTTACATCAAATAAAGAAGTAAATAAATACTCAAGCCACAACTTTTTACTATTGTCAAGAGGTACTCAGCTAACTCTGAATCCTCGAGATGAGCTGTTAAAACTGACAATGCTTCAGATAACCACCTGGTGGAGTTCAAACTAAATTGAGACTAAAAATATACTGAACAACAGGAAATATGGCATTTAAAACGCTCAGCAATACTTTAAGTCCAGGTGCTGACAAAGTCTTACAAAACCTTTTTGAATAAGATGCATCGATTGTAAAAAGAATGAAGAAGCAGTTGATTCAACGAGTCAGGAGGTTTAAGGCAGCAAGAAGCACCCACATAAAGTGTACTTCTATCGATATGCCAGGCCAGATTCAGGAAATGAAGAAGAAGACAGCAATAAGCAACAGCCAAACAAAAACAGATAAAGCCAAGCCAAGACCTAGCACATTTTACTAAAAAAGTAAGCAAAAGGGAGAATTGAAACTGATATCAGACATATGTGGAATACATAACAATGACAAAGTAGAGAGCAAAAAAAGAAGCACGAGAAAACTATACGGTAGAATGAGGAACCAAGCAGGAAAATAAAGTAATCCAGAACGACCAGTCAAGAATAAAGAAGGC